TGACTTAAATAAAAGTTAGAGCGCGCTGTTTGCGCTAAGGTACGCAATGGCGCCGCTGATACTACATTGTTATGAAATGCCGATGAGAAGGCAAAACCAGTATATCCATTGATATTATCGGCATAGATATTCTGGTCATCACCAGGAAAAAAGTGACGATCACATTCGTGTGCTTTGGCCTTGCAGCCACCATGACGTTGCTCTCTCTTTATACACATACCTTCTGTTTTTAGGTTTATATCCATATGAGGGGGGCATGGTTTTGATGACGCACTCCCATTTATATTGCTTGGCAGCTTAGGCAATAATTTCTGTGAGGTACGTTTTTGATTTACAAATTCAACCTCATATGGAGTTGTGACTGTACTGTTTTCATTCCAGTTATCAAATGATTCCTCTTCAGCTTCATGCTGTTCCTGCGCTCCAAATTGTTCTATGTAGTCGTTGATATAACTATTGTTGCTTTTGTCTACGGTTGTTGGTATTGTATCACTGGCGTACTGGCCTTCGCTACTGTAATCGTCTGGTCCTTGATTGCTTAAATTACATGGCTCGATAAAATATTCTCTAATATTCTGTGTTCCGTAATTCATGTGATTGTAAGTTGATATACCGGTATCGGAGGCTAAGGCATCGTTTTGCGTATTATGGAAGTATTCATGCCTTGCATAGTGCTAAAAAAAAAAATTAATTTCAACCAAATCTTCGTGAGTTAACACTTACCGTCATTTTTTAAGATTTATTTTCCTGCACTGTTATCTGAAATCTATTATTTCAATGTAATATTGTTTAGTACTCATTGTTCAGTAATTGTTTGACATTGTAGAGTCGGCTGTACTTCAGAGATCCATGTACCTTGAATGGTAGTTGAAAAATTGTTATATTTAATATATATGTAGGTTTAAGTTTTTCGGAGATCCGTAATGTTATTTCGAAACAAGAAAACAACAACAGAACTAATTTAACTTGTAAAATTCAAACTTTATTTGCTTAATTTTAAACCAATAAGTAATTATGAAATTGTTATTGATATTAAATTTTTAAAAAATCCCCTTTCTAAAGAAAGATTGCGGTAACCAAACCTTTTTTTTAAGAATCTTTACTTATAGTTGATACCTTATAGAATAGTTATAGGTGTAATTTATTCTTCGCAAATAAGTTAAATTGGCTTTGGCCTAATGATTAAGCAAAATAGATGGCGTGCATAGTATATATATTAAACCATAATCCACAATAATAATGAAAAAAAAATGGCTTAAGAAAAATTGGAAATGCGTTTAATATGTTAATCGAAACAATTGATTTTTTTATTTAGATTTAAATTAATACTATTAATTAATATGTAACTAACCAATGTAAATGTATGGTTAAGCTAACTTCTGTCTACCCGTTCTACATGTGGATTTGAAAGGCACAGGCATACATTTATACATATGTATGTATAGTGTTCCATAGCATAGTTGGAGCTACTATAGTAAAAAAGCAAACCCTACATTGGGTACTTGTTTTCAGCAAAGACACAGACTTGCAAATTTTTTTATGGATTCTTCTTAATAATTTTTTTTGTTGAAATCTTTAAATATTTTTGTACCTCTTGTATATGACTGCAATATTTTAAATATATTCTAATTAGTTAAAAATCTGTAAATCACTATAAACTTACCTTTGATTTACAACACAGTTAATGAAAATTGGTTATTTTGTATTGTATAATTCCAATTCAATAAAAATCACTGATCATGCGCAAAGAAAAGAGAGAAACGATAGCACCCTTGGAGTGGTAAATGAAACTAAGCAAGCACAGTTGCCGTAATATTCATATGTAACTCTACAATAATTACAGTACCAATTTAAGGTGTCAGCTCTGTTGCATATTTCATTAAGACCGTACTTTCTGTTTGTTTACTTTTCCTATTACTATCAGCTGCTTGCCCTTTAACTCAGCGCTATGTGAAGATGCCTATACAAGTTTTTAAGCTACTGTAAAAACATGAAAAGAACTGGTTCTCAATCTCCAATTCGGTTATACTTTATTTCCACAAAACTTTTACTTGTTTACGTTATAAAACCCAGTGAGAAAATTATAAAAAACTTACTTAACTTTTAAAAAATTTCTTTTTTTATATTATGTTTATTTCAACACCTATCTTAATGAAAATGACGCCAGGTACAATTTGTATCCGGCGACGTTTTATTGAGAAATGTGCTATAATAAAAATAAATTTGTTATGTTTGTACCTAGCGATTTTATTATTTTTCAACACAGTTATGTAATAGGAAAACCTTTTTCTCATTCAAGTAACAAATGCCAAGTTTATCCTCATTATTTAAAGTAATCTTATCTTCTAAGGATATTTCTTCACCAAAATCAGTAAATAAAGTATATATATTCTTGATCAGGATCAATAACGAAGTCGATTGTGCCATGTCGGTCTGTCCGTCCGTCCGTCCGTATGAACGCTGAGATCTCAGGAACTATAGCAGATACAAAGTTGAGATTAAGCATGAAAATTCTTGAAGTCCCGGGTCAGCGCAAGGTTATTTCAGCATCCTGCCACGCACACTCTAACGCCCACAAATCACGAAAAACTAAAATCGCTAGAATCTTGGTAACTATTAGAGCTAGAAAGTTGAAATTTAGTATTTATAAACTTTGGATGCCAGCGCATCTTTTTTTTTTATTTGGATACACCCACCCATACGCCCACCAAGCTCAAAAGACGGTTTTCGCATTTTCAAGAAAACCTGATATCTCGGTAACTATAAGTGATAGAAAATTCGGATTAAACATGTAGATTTTTATGATGCCCCAAATGTGAATTTTTTTCCCATCTAGCCACGCCCACCCTAACGCCCACAAAACCCGAAAAACCAAAAATCTCGGGAACTAAAAGATTTAGAAACTTAGGCTTCAGAATATATTTTTGGGATGCCACCGCAACTTCCCACGAGTTTTTATCCGGCCACGCCCACTCTAACGCCTACAAACCGCGGAACACTGTAGCGCCTAAAATAATATTATGAATGCCTTCGTTTGACGTTGTATAACTTATTTCTGTTTATGTCTCTCGATTTACCAAAGATTTTTCAAATCGGAACATTATTTCGATACTTATGAAGAAATTTAGGTTATAAGGCCTCACATGGGCAGTGTCGTCACTATCAGTTACTCGTCAGCTCTCTTCGACAATAGGTGGCGCTTGGGTAATTTCCACTAGCAAAATTAGTATTTTAAAATTGTGTAAAACAGTAACGGGTATGTTATAGTCCCGGCACTCGACTATAGCGTTTCCTCTTGTTTTATATTAGTATTGTACAATTTGTCATTGGAAATGGGCCATTAAGACTGTAATGTTATCTTACGGCAGCTGAAATCCGGTCAATAACTGTTTGCGTTGCCAAATAAACAAAAGGCAAATAAAAAATACAAAAAAAATGAACCAAGAAATAATTTTAAATTTATCAAACACATATTTAAAAAAATAGCTACACCCAATGGTTTCAAGAAATCCACGAATGCAAAAAAAAACAAAATCTATAATAAAAATTGATAAGATTTTATTTCTATATCCTTTTAGTACGAATATTCTACTAATTATAAAGATTATGAAGTTCCAAAAAAATAGTCATACTTAAGACCAAAGAGGTGAAATATAGCGGTTTGTGGCATGATAAGTTAACCGTGTGCATACTATCGATATCGATTGTCTTTTCATCCCTTCACAATTGAGTTTGTGAATAAGCAAATACACAATAAATAAAGGACGGTACAAAATAAACTTTGAGCTATACGTTACTTACCGCAGATGACATATATAACCTTAATTTTTATATCCGTTACTCGTAGAGTAAAAGATCAAAAATGTCCGTCCGTCTGTCTGTCCGTATGAACGCTGAGATCTCAGGAACTATAAGAGATACAAAGTTGAGATTAAGTTTCTTAAGGTCCTTACGCAGCGCATGTTTATTTCAGCATCCTGCACCGCCCAAAAATGCGAACTATAAGAGCTAGAAAGTTAGGCTTAGGAATGCCACTGCGGCTCGACGCGAGTTTTCATCACGCCACGCCCATTATAACGCCCACAAACCGCGAAAACTGTGGCGTCCATAATATTTATAGTGTATGTCTTCATTTGGCCTTGCATAACTTATTTTTGTAAATATCTATTGATTTACTAAAGATTTTTTAAATCGGAACATTATTTCGCTATTTGTGAAGAAATAAAGTTTATAAGACCTCACATGGACAGTGACGTCACCATCAGTTACTTAACGTGCTTGTTCTTACAAAAGATGGCACTTGTAAATTTCCTCTCGCAAAACTATTTTAAAATTTTATAAAACAGTAACGGGTATCTTATAGTCGCGGCACTCGACTATAGCGTTTCTTCTTGTTTTATCACAAATAACTATTATTTAAAAATATATTTGTATGTTGGTATGAATTTATATTATGGGGGCCTTAGTAATAATAGGTTTGTGGGTTTTGGAAGTTCAATCAAAAATGACTAAATCTCTCAGTTTTACGGACTTTGCAAAATCCGGAGAAAATATATACATATAAGTTACTTTGTAAAATCGAAAGAAGTTCCATCTTAATTTTATATATTTTTCTAATAATATATAAATATAAATATATATATAAAATTCCAAAGGTATTCGTAATATAAATCCCACATTGTAGCTGTTAGAATCTAATAAACTGACTTTTATAATTTGTTGCCTTTTCAGGGTGATGTGTGTGCTTTCTTTACCGTTCTCATACATTTAATTTAATAAGCGTCTTGCATAATCCCCATTCTTGACATATTAAATTAGGATACACCCGATTAGCAACAATGTCCGTATGTTCGCTGAAATCTCAGAAACTATAAAACCTAGAAAGTTTATATAAAGCATATATTTCTGTTATCATAATTCTTTTGAAATTGGTTTGCAGAGTTCTTATTACCCTTAACTAGCGCTCAAATAAATGAGCGGTTAACGTTTATAGCTATACGTTTCCTTTTGGTTCGCTTTATTGTACATATGTTATACACTTTTTATATTTTTGCATGTAATCTTAAGTCATGAACCAGAATCTTTAGTGAAATTGAATAAGTCCATATTGAAATCTATATATACTGTTAATGAACCTTCTTCACCCACCAAACTTCGTTTTAATAAATTTTATTACAAATTTTAAATATATGCTGCCTAGGCCAGATAATTTCCGGTTTTAGTTAGCGTCATCGTTTAATAACGAGTTAAAAAAAGGATTAAGACTTTTTACAGCAACGCCTATAATAAAGAAATAAATTATATATTACATATAAAACGTAATTATAAACGTAAATTTACCCTTGCCAGCTGACTGATCCTTTGAATCGCGCCATTTACAGAGCGATTCCTTTTGTATTACATAGGCATCATAAAGCTCGCCAATTAGTTCACTCAGCAATCCTGAAATAATAATGCAATGAAAAACGTAAGCCATAAAAAAGTAGACTTTTGCTTAAACGAAAAGTCAAAATTAAACACATTTAAAATTTATTTAACTTTTAGCAAAATACGAATCTTACCTCTAGGGTGCTCTAAACCATGGACTAATAGTTGCATAGTATATAAGCATTCAAGTTGATGATCTTCATTCGAATCAATGTATCTCAGCAAAACTGGTATGCAAAACTTTTGAAAGGTTTCGGTCTCAAGTTTATAACTATTTTCCTTGTAGAGAATTGAGAAATTACTTAACGTTTCAGTCAATCCCCTAATAAACAACTTATCGACCACCATTATATTTCCCTTAAAAACGAAGAGGTCATATTAAAATAAAGCTATAAATATTATTATACGTCCTTACGTTACTGTAGTCAATAATGCAATCTGCGGTCGTTCCTTCCTTCAACAAGTGATCAATATGGTCTATCACATTTTTGACGTGCTTTTCCGGGGACTCTCGTTGCTCAATCACTGGCGACATAGACTCGTTTTCAACATATTCCAGCCTCTGTAAATAATTTATAATAAATAAAATTGCCGGCTTAATATATAAATGAATATAAACAAGAAAAAGTCAAAATTAAAAACAAATTTTGTTATTGGTCATACAGAACTATATAATGCGTGTTTATTAACTAACGTTGGCACTACTATTTATGTGAGGCTTTATAATCCACACTAGTATTACATTATGAAATAAAATTCAGATTTAAATTATTATTATTTGGTAATTTGTTAGGTCAGACAAAAAAATTCAAGGTTAAACCAAACCTAATCTTATTTTAGTCCATACTTTGTACCTTTGATAGTTCCTGAAATCCCAGCCCTCTTACGTACAAAAGGACATGGCTAAATCAATTAGGCTATTGATCCTAATAAAAAACAAGAGGAAACGCTATAGTCGAGTGCCGCGACTATAAGATACCCGTTACTGTTTTACAAAATTTTAAAATATTATTTTGCTAGTGGAAATTCACAAAGCGCCAACTATTGTCAGAGGAAGTATGTTGAGTATGCTTATAGTGACGTCACTGCCCATGTGAGGCCTTAATTTCTTTATAAATAGCGAAATAATGTCCCGATTTGAAATCTTTGGTAAAACGATAGATATTAACAGAAATAAGTTATACAACGTCAAACGAAGGCATTCATAATAATATTATAGACGCCACAGCTTTCCGCGGTTTGTGGGCGTTAGAGTGGGCGTGGCCGAATGCAACTTCGTGGCAAGTTGCAGAGGCATCTCTTAAATACGTGTACCTAAGTAAAATTTTGTAGCTCTTATAGTTTTCGAGATTTTTGCATTTTTGGTTTTTCGGGTTTTGTGGGCGTTAGAGTGGCTTTGAAAAGCAGGGTTTTGTTTACATTATTAAAAATGTTCACTTCAAGATCACCGTAAAAAAATTGGAAGGTATGTCAAATGAATTTAGGCTGAGTCAAAAAGATAAATTTAATTAAGATAAAATAAAATCATTTAAAATATATGATCTGGGATTTTATATTCGATATGTTATGTTTCACGCCATTTAAGTATATATAAATAAACTCACGTTGCATTTAATAAAGTCTTCGATTTCATTTTCAGGCATAAAATCTGACCATTTTAAGTTGAACTTGATCCACATACTCCGGGCAAAATTTGGTCCAACTTCTTGTGTACAATATATCAAGTATGTTTTAAGGAACTTTTTAGCCACTTTTAAAGGGCTATTGTCTTTTAAATTTTTGTTCCACAAGTCGGATACAGTTAAGATTTTCTTCACAATTAATGGCCCTGTAAAGGAAGAGTTATAAATATTTTAATAAAAATATTAGTAGAAGTTAATATATCAGGCGTTAGCCATAAATGATATCAGTGACATATTCGGTACATGACGAAACTATATTTCATTGATTTTATTTTTTGCCAATAATGCTATGATTAATGGTGTGTTGTTTTTTCGATTTTAGGGCTTGGTATCATTACCCTACCTTTTTGCGACATTGCTTATCTGTTGTTATTTGAAATTCGTAGAACTTTTAAATTGCCATAATACTTTAAATAATTATTTATGACAAAATTTCAAACCTGGGTACTTACTAGATCTAAGGATATATAAAACATAAAATTGTTTTATTCTGCTTATACTTTTTCTACTCTTTTCAACAAAACAAATTAGGTATTTTACTGATACATTTGCTGGTAAACGCAAAAATGATAATATTACCGGCAAATTGGAGAATGTACAGCCAAAGCTCTGGAATATCAACAATTAAATCGTTCGCGTACTCGCTAAATTCATTGTACGCCAGTCTGAAGTGATCCACAGAGATGTAATTCTGTTGAATAAGTAGGGAAACAGTAATGGCCAAATACCGCCTGTACTGTTTACCAACATCCGCTAAATGCAAGTAATCCGTTAATATGTAATATAAGAAACTGCAGCGCAATTCCTCTGGTACTCGTTTAATGCACGCGACTACACCGGGCGTTACTGTCTCAGAGGCTGATGCAAGCTCTATCATTTCTGAGACAACAGACTTTATGTTCTTCAGATCTGTTTCACTAGCCTCATTGAAAACTGCCGCAGGAGCAACACAACGAGTACTTTGAGAAAACGGTAAGGATGCAGGTGACGGTTGTTCACTTCCACGGTAAAGTCCACCAGCGTTGACAGTAGAGCTACCAAGTGATGGCTGTACCTGTAAGATAGTCTTAATTAATAACTGGAATAGCAGTATTGCGTATTATTATCATTTGGTTCTAATTTAAAACGCAAACTTGTAACAATAAAATGTTTAAATATATACTTTTAGATTCCCGTTGCTCTGTTAATTAATTTTAAACCAAGAAAAAACGCTATGGTGTGAGTTTTGAACCATTAATTTATAACCTACCTATCTTAATAAATTGCGAAATAAAGGATAAAGGTTCGATTTAGATGTTAAGCAAATTTTATACAGGGTAAAACAAAACATAAATGTTAATATTATTGATGCCTATTTTTCGCGGTTTTTGGCCGTTAAAGTGGGCGTGTTTGGATGAAATATCATGTCGTGCTGTGGTGGCATTTCAAGAATAGTTACCGAGATTTTAGAGTTTTTGGTTTGTGGGCGTTAGGGAGGGCGTGACTAAATGCGAAAAAATAATAAGCTTCATTGAAAACTGAATGCTTATTCTTAACTTTCTTTCACTTTTAGTTTCCGAGATATCGGCGTTTCTAGGCGTGACCGGATAATGGTAATGGTAAGATTCCCTGCCATTTCAAAATTATACATGCTAAATCCTATAATGTTAGCTTTTATATTTCTCTGTGATGCTACACTTGTGCTGCGTAAGGATTTAAAGAATCTGCATACTTAATCCCAACGTTGTTTCTCTTTTAGTTCCTGACATCTCAGCATCCATGCGTATATGCGAACGAACAAACGTAAATAGCAAATTCGGGGCTTGGTTATTGATCCTGTACAAAAATATAGGTACTTAACAGGTTTGGAAACGCTTCCTTCTAGCTGGTATATTTTTTTTTTAAATTCTGTAAATTATTCTCCCTATTAGGAAAATATAGGTTTATCTGCACTGGGTTATAAAATAAATGCCTATACAATTTTGTACAGACATTTTATTCCGTTCCTTTATCCGAGGGAAGAATTTTCTGTGATTTGTTATCGAACACAAATAAACATAAACAAATAGCAGTATCAAACAACAACGTTCAGCGCTATGTTTGTTCTAGCCCTATTTATAAATATATTTAGACACAGAAACGAAAAATAATATTTATATTACTCACTTTGGCAGTATGACGTCCAGGAACCACTTGCTGTTGCGTGTATTTTGATTGACTAGCAGATTTTTGAACAGACGTACTCAATAGGCTGCGACCATGGCCCTGTTGCCCACTACGGGAGGATGAGTTTTCTCGTGACCCTTGAGATGATCCAGTCCTCGAATGTATACCTTTTTAAGTAATAATAAATAAACATTTTTCTGCGTTTTTGAAGAAATTCTACTTTTTTAACAAACCTCTATCATAGCGATCGCGTTCCATCGATCCCTTATTATATGACCCCTTATTTCTAGGAACAGCGCGATCCCACTCACTGCTATTTTTATCATTAAGTGATGATAGCACAGCAAAGGGATTGGATGGGGTTGCTGTGGGTACAGATGATTGTTTTGCTGGGTTCCAAATAAATTGCCCTAATCCACCCATCTTCTTTGTTTCTAAGTTTTGATCAGAAAGTTTAGACTGCAATATTTAAAAATATATTCATGAAAACTTTAATTGACAAATTAAAAACCAAAAATTAATTTCCATTTTATTCATAATATGTGAAAGATAAAAATAAAAATAACTCTTCAATCATTTTTAAAATAAATATTCTACAGACAGGTTTCAATGTAACAGGTTAACTGACACTTTAATATATATAATCTTGATAAAGATCTATAGTCTAATCCATACATAAATAATCATATTAAAAGTTTGGTTTGACTTCGTAGTTTTTTGTCTATATGCATCGATCTGTTTTGGGTCGCAACAAAACTTGTTAAGAAATTGAGATAATAAGCCTACACATGGCCAGAGCAGTCAATGTGAGTTAATAAACGTGCCTTACATTGTAGAATTTGATTGCTAAGCTTCGTAGCTCCGATATTTTTAAAGCCCTCACAGTTCATACGGACAGACTCAAGTAATATGGTCAGAATCTTCTAGCTCTATTGTTACATACTTTTAAAAACCTAACTATAACAAAAATAATTATCTTACCAAACCCTCCAGTTTATTACTGTCGACCGCTTGGGAACGGCTACCTTTGCTAGTTTGCACATGCCAAGTATTGTCATCATTGTTTCCATTTGAGTGTGCTGCTCCGCCAGAGCCACTGACTCCGCCAATATTACTTTGCTGTTGGTGCCGTAGGTTTCCGTTGTCGCCACGTTGGCTGTGACTGCCACCATACCCGCTACCAGAACGAGATTCTCCGTATCGAGCGTTGCCACGATCATCTCGTTTACCAGAGCCGCCTTGTGTTCCTACAAGCGTATTACTGGAAAGTGTACCAAAATATTGTGCAGAAATCTGCTCGTTCTTTGCTTCTTTTTCAATTTGTCCCATAGTTTTGGGTGCCTCATTGCGTGAAGTTTGCCATTTATTCTTCCGCAAATCTATAACATCTTGAAGCATAAAACGCACCCGTGAGCTTACTTTGGCTCCATCTTTGTCAGTTTTTGAAGCAATAGCCTGCATTCTGGTTATAGATTTTTCCAATGAGTAACACCTTCCTGGTTCCTTCGAATTCACTGGAGTCTGCTCAAACTTGGCACCCACAGTGGTGAGCAGCTTGCATAGACATTCAAGCATGTCTTCAGAATGAGGATTAAGAAGTGTATCAATGCAAGAATATATTATTTTGCCAGTCAACATAGATATCTTAAAAAGTTCACCGATAAATCGTACGGTGCCTCCGGAGCGTCGTCGTATTTTTCTCTCCTCCTCTTCTAAGAATGCCTCAAGTTCTGCTTTTTCATTAGCATCTGTACTTTTCTTTATTTTATCTACTATTGGCTGTAATTTTTTTTCTTTTGCAGTGCTCTGTGAGACATTTTGTGTGAATTCCCGTTCGGTTTTATCCAACAAAGCATTTCTGAAGTGCGCCAAATTAGATTTTGTGCCGCTCTCCATGCGCTCGTCTCTCCCTTTTACTTCCGAAATCAGACGATGGCATAGTCTGGCATAGGATACAGAAAAGTTTGGCTCATCAATTGCTTTTTCAAATACCAGCACAATAACTTCGTCCATTTTTTCTGGCGTATCGATTTTCAACTTTATAATCTCTTTGACAAGCGTATCAAACCTTTCAGGGGTAAGCTTGTTTAAAATGCCACGAACTCGACGAACCAATTCTTGCGTAGATTTTGTGTCGCTGTCCACATCCGATTTATTCAAGACTCTTGGACGCCAAGCGTTTTCGTTCTCACTTAGTTTAACATCTTGGTTTAGGGACAAATTAACGTGAATCATGCCTTTCATACTATTTCTGCTGCCACCACCCATCACACCAGACATTGATATTTGTTTGCCAATGTAATTACCTCCGGAATCACTACTACGATTGCCAATCATTCCAACCATAGATTGTACTCGCTTATTATTATTGTTATTTCGGATAAATGCTGGCATTAAGTTAGGTTGAGGAAGAATAGACACATTTTTCACCTCTGGCTGTATACGTGAGGCCTTCACCTCCCGTAACTGTAATAACTGATCTCGATTATATTGTTTTTTGCCGCTTGGATTGCTTGGAGACCATTGACCTTCATTATAATTGATAACAGATGATACGGTTATTCCTGTTTTTTCGTCTGAAGGACTAGTAGACTTAGGTTTATCTTCCAAATCCGTCTCTGACATTTCGTCTGATTTTAAAGGGAACTGGAGATTTAAATCTATGTCTGTGTTATTTGTTGAATTGGTCTCCGTTGGTGACTCATTAGTAGCGACTTCATCTAAAACATCTCCATTATTTTTAGTCTCTATAATATCTAATGTTTCGATATAACTATCGTCTAAACAAGTCCCTTTTTTTAATGCCATCGATGATAGTTCAATCTCATCAGGGACACTTACTAAACTTATTTCACCATGAACTGTTTGTTCTTCACATTGGTTATCTTTAAAATTTTCAACTATAGATTTTTCCATTTCATTTGACTGTGTAGAATCATAGTTATCCAAAATGGTGTGAATCTTAGCCGAATCTGCAACAGAATCAACAGGCGGTAATTCGTCAATATTAGAGATTTCAGGCTGGACAGAAAAATTCTTTGATGGTTGACTGTTCGTTTCAGTGGCAGTCAGTATCTCTAATTGATGATTTCCAGAAAACACACCAAAATTTACTTCGGTATTTGCTTTTTCCGTTACTTTTTCCACTTCCTTTGTAATGTCAGTTTTTAATGCGGCTTGCTTCTGTTCCGATAATTCGGATGTGAGTAATTTTTGATGCGGATTTGGTTGTAGAGGTTCCTCAGGGGTTGCGGCAATCGCTTTTGACACAGCATCATCCGTTTCGTCTACAGTTTAAAAAATAGTTAAAAAATGTAATAAAACTTTTAATATTGTTGATTGTTAGAAGAAAATTAGAATCGATTGAAGAAAATGGTTTAAATTGAGATTATAGTAATCAATGGTTTTTTAGGTATTTCATCTTTATTAAATTTCATGGATTTCAAGTTTATAATAACTTGTCAGACACATTCAACGGCTGACACATATCTGGAATGACACCCGCAGCTTTTAATTAATTTAACATTATTATCATTTGTTTATGCATTTCCATTAAACAAACTGGTTTAGTTAAAAAAAAAATACAGTTGAAGCAAAAACTTGACTTGGTGACGAGTTTTCAGAAATTGTTCAAGGAAATTGAACTATCAAAGATTTGTATGCTTAGATTAGACAAGGTTAAATAAAGAAGCCGAACTCAGTAAACGCACAGAATATTGTTACCGACAAAAACATTAAAAAAAAAACAAGACGAAACAATTCGCATTTGGGGCATTATAAAAACCTACCGAGTTATCAGCTATTCTACATATTGCGAAAACCGTCTTTCGAGCTTGGTGAGCGTAAGAGTGGTTATGGCCGGATAATGCTACCATCATAAGATGCGCTTACATCTCAAGAGTACTTAATCCCAACTTTTTAGCTCTAAGATTTCAGCGATTTTAGTTTTCCGTGGGCGCTGCGTGGGTACCTCAAGGATCTTTCTGCTTAATCTCAATTCTTTTACTCTACAAGTAACGGGCATAAATACAACATATGATTTAATTAATTCGATTTTAACCAGCTCCATAGCAAGGAAAAACTAAACAGTTATCTGGCAATATCTGTCTGCAAATTTCTGGCAATGTTGTCTGGCAATGGCGGAGTCCCTATCCTTAAAAAGAAACTTGGTGACTAAGAAATTACGTTATTAGACTATTAAATTGGCTTTGTATTGCTTTCGCTCCTTCCGCACAAAAAATCGTAATATATTATACTCGACTATATTATACCCGTTACTATTGCTATAATAATATAATATAGTATTTTTGCTAGCAGAAATGATTGCCAAAACCATATATATTGACGGCGACGTCACTGCAATAGATACATTATGAGAAAAAAACCTAAAAATATTCCGGCTTGAATTAAAAAAAAATTTCTTACGCGACACCCGTTGCTTATCGTGCAACCCTGTCTAACGTACGGCTCGAAACACATGGATAGTACCGAGTGAATAAGTTTAGAAACGACGAAATTATGTGTATTATAAGAAGAAGAAGAAGAATTGGAGGGCATTATAACTCGAACATAATATCCTAAATGGTTCATGAAGGACAAAGTTCGAGCTGCAATGTTCCAAGGATAAGGTAATATAGTTTCTAGTAAGCGTAGCGGGCACATTGATGTTTAAGCAACCTAGCAAGGTCGGTAAGTTTATCAGTAGTAGTCTACTGTTATAATAGGGAAGATGTTTGCATCCCAATTTTGGCCACGAAGAGCAAATATAAGGAATTTTTTTTGGCCAGATTCTATACGGTATTGGTGGAACGCATACTGTGTGTTTCGGACGCAGGATCCATACTCTAAGATCGAACGAAAGAGACAATATAAAGTTTTAGTAACGTAACGGTCATTACATGCTTTCGACCACCTTTTTATAAAACCTTGCACAGCTCTGGATTTATTAACCATGGAAAAAGTGTGGTCGGAAAATGTAAGTTTCGCATCCAATAGGACACCTAATTCTACCAAGGGCTACACCACATAGTGTGTAAGAGGTTATTACGGATTTAGAACGAATGAAGGTCATTACTTTACACTTAAAGCCGTTAAGACTTTGAATACAAAGTTTCACATCATCTGCAACATTTAAATAAAAGTATTTTTTAAAGCGAGTGAAAGGTCATTCTTGTATAATGTGAAAAATAGCGGACCTAAATGGCTTCCGTGAGAGACACCAAATGAAGCATCAACCAGACCAGACCAGACCCAATAGGGTTCAATGATCTTCTCAAAGAGTTTTGGAATTGCTGATAATTTAGAGATACCCCTATAATTACCAGCATCCGAAGTTTTCCCTTCCTTGTTTAGAGAAATGATGAAAGATTCCTTCCAAATAAGGAGAAACGTTTCCGTTCCAAACTAGAGGTTAAACAGTTTTAAAAGAGGATTGCACAGGTAAGACGCGTAGTATCTATGCACACAGCCAGCAACGCCATCGGGGTCTTGCGAAAAGGTCGCCTTAACACTGTGAAGATCTTTAAGAATACCACTCATTATCAAAAAAGGTCGCGTGACGAGGTTCGACTGTGGAACACCGTAGACGTAAGGCTGCCTAGGGGTTGTCGAAGGTGAATATGTGATTTGAAAAAACTTGGCGAACATATCGGCTATAGCCTGATTAGTTCTCGCCTTTGAATTTTCAAACGTTAGTGCTGAAGGAAACGTTTTTGGTTTACACTTAGTCCTAACGAAATTATATAATTTTTTCGGGTTCTGTGTAAATTGGGTCCTACAACGAAGCTAAATAATTTTTATGATACTGAGCGTTCGGAACAGTAATATTTGACCGAGCAACTAAGTATTGAGAGTAACTGAGCGAAGTGGCAGTTTTTAAGTATTTTTTCTGAAGCCTGAACTTTATATTCCTTAAGGTATTTAAGCCCTTGGTGTACCAAGGGGGGTTATCCGTTCTCATCGGAACACATATATCAAATATTAGGTTTAATGAATGGTAAAATATGGTAATACTAAAACAGCGAACCTTTTTGACAACCCTAGTAGGCCCAGTCACTTGGAGTGGTCCAGCATCGATCGCCAGCTCCAGAGTGGGATTATAAACGTCTTCAGGGCGTGTAAGTGGTGAAGCCCTAGATATAAAGACGGAGTCCGAATCTGAGATTAAGCATAGATCGACCCAAACAGTTTTTCACATGGTTAATTGTTTCCAGGGTCAATCAAATCGTAATGTCAAGAAGCTGTTAAAGCTAAACTATTTTCGTTTTTGGACCAGTTAGTTTGTGGTATGTTAAAATCGCCCAAAATCACAAGCTGATCCATATCTGATATTAGCGTAAAAACGGACTGTTTGATACATGCAACTCATACGTACATAGATGATTCGGGCTTAGGAGGGATGTAAGAACACGTAATAAATAAAAATGTACCAGAAAGTAAAAGAGTAACACAAATAAATTTGATATCACCGAATTGAAGATTAATCTCCTCGGATACGAGTTTAGAGTCTACATAAATTAAAACTCAACCCCCGGACCCGAGTGATCGATCAATCGTGTATGTTATATACCTGCTCCGAAAAATTTAGAAGTTAAGAATTTCCGAAACTAGCTATGCTTCGGTAAGATGTACATTGATAATTACCGACAAAAACTATAAGAGCTAGGAAATTTGGACTAAGAATGCAGATGCCAGCGCAGATCAATTTTGATTCACAAGCCATGCCTACAAGCTTGGAGGTTTGACTTTAACTATCCTTTTTTGTTAGTACCAATCGATCGAGCACCCATCTTTCAAATCAGTATTTTCTCATATGTTATTAAGAAATTAATACATGGTCAGTGACGTCACTTACATGCTTTAGCAACAAATTGCGCCAATAAAGTGGTAACCACATATTTCATTTTATATATGTATGTGTTTGCTTTTATACATTTGTTAATATGTATTTCACATTACGGCACGATGACTTACCGGCCAACTGCCACGTTGTTGCCTAGCAGCTATAGATAGACACAGATGATATGGAATCTCACTAACACAAACACAATGATTAAAAAAACGATCCAATGCGTCACAAACTAAACAAAGAACTGAAAAAATCGCCCGCGAACCGATAAACTCGCTAAAAGTCTAAAAACAATCTAAAAAGCAAAAGTGAAAACGTATTCAAAATACACTTGCACCCAGTACTACGCGCAAATAACAATTATGAGCGACTGAAATATTTATGCGCACTCAAGCAAACTGATGAATATTGGTCTTTATGTTGTGAAAAAAAACTTTTTGTAATATAAAACTGTTTTGTGTCACGACTATTACAGCACCAGGAGTAAAGTACCTACCAAGATAAGTTCTAGAGAAAGGTCAATTATAATTCAAATTTCGTATTAATATTTCCAAATTCTTAATGTTATAATTTTAATATTAGTAACTTTAAGTACGCAATTGAAGTTGAAAAACAATGAAATCTTACATTTCTACTTTATTATTACCATTATTACTTTGTGAGCCTAATTATTTTCAAGTCATATATGCATATATTATTTTAAAGATAAATTTTTTATTCCTTATAAAAGTATATCCTCGCAAAAAAGTACAATTTCAGTTTGCAGTGTAGTTAAGACGCAAATATTTTCTTGATCAGCGTACAAGCAGGAGAGATCTATTTGTGCCCAGTTGCCCGCCTGTACGCAAACTAAGGTTTTCGGATCGGACTACTATATCAAATATCTCGGAAGATTTTTGTTTCTACCAGTAACATCTTCGAACACTTGCACTGGACTTCATTCTTTAAACCTTCTGTTTGCAGTCTAGATTATTTATCGCATTTGGCGGGTTAATAAAATGAGTGATGCATTCTCTCAGCACAGCTGCAAACCATCCAACCAAACGTTACTAGATATGAGCACGCTTTTCGTATTTGTGTTTATGTCCAGGTACCTTTGACAATGTTTCCACAACAAGAATTAGCAGACAATAGACACGAAAAAACAGGAAGAAACGCTACTTTAAGATACCCCTTACTGTTTTACACAATTTGAAATATTAATTTTGCTAGTGGAAATTCACAAAGCACCACCTATTGTCAGAGAAAGCTTGTTGAGTAACTGATAGGACGTCATAGAGTCTTCATAAATAGCAACATATTGTTCCGATCTTTGGTAAATCGATAGATATTGACAAAAATATGATATTCAAGGTCAAACGAAGACGTACACTTATGGACGCCACAGTTATCCTCGGTTTGTCGGCGTTATAGTGGGCGTGATAAGATGCTGAAATAAACTTGCGCTGCGTAGGCATCTCAACAATCAATTCCTGATATCTCAGAGTTCCTACGGACAGACGGGCGGACACGGCTTAATCGACATCGCTATTGATACTGATCAAAAAAATATATATTTTATACTTCTCAACGAATCTAATATACCCTTTTACTCTACGAGTAAAAGGTTGCGCAGGCCGATATATATTAAGTATTTTGGACCTTTCCGGAAGTATGGGCGCAAAACTCTCCTCTTAAATGGGGCAAACATTATCACATACTACTCTAAAGTATGAAAATCGCTATTTGGAAAACTCCTTAGGGATAAAACCACATTGTTCATAGGTATGGATGCATATATATATAGGTATGGATGCATATATATATATATATATACATATATATATATACAAATTGAAAGTCGTGCCATTCAACAGTGTAATTTATATTTTTTAAAACCCATAGAAAAATTAATTTACGTTTACATGTGTACTTACCAGAAATAGAAATAGAAGAAGTAGTAGCAATGGAATCAGATACCTTTTTGGGAGACACTATAGGAATTCTAAAGCAACAATTAATTTAGAAAAAATAAACAAATTATATTAGTTTGAGTGAGTCCATAAAAATTTTTAAGTTCTCATTTACCAAAACCCCTAAGGGATCTTTTTTTCCTTCGGATCATTTATCCATTACTTTTACCTAATTTTAGGTATCTTTTAGTTCAGATCAAATTAGTAATGATAAGCAAGATTTTTCCCAAAGAAGATCCCTTCCAAAAATGCAAAACCTTTCCGTGAGCATTATTGCATAACATAAAGTAACTTACTTTTTGCTTCTACCTCTTTGAGGCGTTGGTAATATTTCGACCGATGGTGCATCAGACATCGCTGATACGATTGGTGTCTGCCCAACATCTTGGCGACTTATTGATATAGGTTCTGCAATCGAAAAAAAATATATTAGGTTTGAAGTATATTACATTGTTGTGAACTAAAACCCAGTGAGAGCCTTTAATTTTTTTCTATACACCTGAATCTTGGTACATGTGTTCGGAAACGTAACAAAAGAAAAAAAAAACAAGAAGAAACGCTATAGTCGAGTGCCGCAACTATAAGATACCCGTTACTGTTTTACATTAATTTTAATATTTTTTGCTAGTGGAAATGACAAAGCGCCACCTTTTGTCAAAAAAGCATGTTTACTAGCTGATGGTGACGTCACTGATCATGTGAGACCTTATAGCCTAATTTCTTCATATGAAGCGAAATGTTCCAATTTAAAAAATCTTTGCGCGGTTTGTGAGCGTCAGAGTAGACGTGTTCAGATGAAAACTAACGCCTAACTTTCTAGCTCTTATAGTTCCCAATATTTTCTCTTATTGGGTTTTCCATGTTTTGTGAGCGATATAGTGGGCGCGGCTAGATGGGGAAAAATTATTCGCATTGGGGGGCATCATAAAAAGAGACATGCTTAATCCTACATTTCTATCACTTATAGTTACCGAGATATCAGCTTTATACCATATGTGAAAACCGTCTTTCGAGCTTGGTGGTCGTAAGAGTGAGTGTGGCCGGATATTGGTACCACCATAAGATGCGCTGGCATCTCAAGATTACATACTTAATTCCTTTTAACTACTGCATACTATTCAACGAATCTAATATACCCTTTTACTTTACGAGTAACGGCTATAAAAACGATCAACAACTCGAATAAGAAGACACCTTATGTTTCGCACACACTTCGCATTTGCTTCCTATAAAAATAGCATACCTAACATATATGCAAGAAGAGAATAAAATCTTCTAGAATTACTTTTACAAATCTAAGATATTCCAAGAACAAAATGTTTTCACGGTCATTTTTAAAAAACATAAAATATTTACCGATCGGGCTGAAAGAGGCGTTTATCCGTGATTCGGATCCTTGTGATATAATATTGCTTAAATTACTGATTGCAACACCATCTTGCTGTGGAATACGTATAGGACCTTCTGAAAGGACAGCTGCCGATGTGTTTGTAAGTGTTGCCTGCTCCGAAAAGTCTTTATCTGTGTTTAAGTTTGTCTTTAAAATATAAAGGTTTAAATGGTAAAATGATATGAAATCTTAAGCTTTGTAATAACTTGCCTTGTCTAAATCTTCTAATATGTTTTTTTGAGTTGCAGGATCGATTATCGGCAACCGATGCTGATGTCGGCGCCTGCTTGATGGTTGCACCTGTACCGATTGGGTTTGGACACTTGTTGGCATTACACCAACTCCAACCATTGGAGAAACACCTACTTGTCCCATTCCAGGACTACCACTGACTCCCATCACTGAACTTGATCCTGGCTGCACTGCACTTGTGAGCAATTGAAGCTGCGACGAGTTTGTCCCCGGACCAGGCAGTGGTCCATTGGGCCCGGACTGGACTGGCTGCAAAGTATTTCCCACATTTACGTTGGTATTAACCGTAACAGCATTTCGGGTATGTGGCGACGGCTGCTGTTGAAGAGTTGGCACATATTGGTATGGATAGTAGGGCATTGGGGCGGATGCATATTGCAAGTGAGTAGATGGAAATGTTTGTTGTCGCGGGTATTGTGTATATTGTTGGAGCACCACGTTTTGGTGAAGAGGCTGTGAGTACATCTGTTGTACATGGACATGGCGTGTTGCACCTCCACTGGAGCCTCGTGGGGCACTTGCCGTGGGTGGTGGACCTCGAAAAATGCCGCCACTTTGTGGATTAGATCGGCTATTCCCAGAACTGCTGTTTCCCGTCGAAACGTACTGTAAATATACAAATATAGATTTAGTAATAAGTGGAAAGAGGTAATTGACATTATACATGAAAATAGCCATTATTAATTTAATAATGAAGTTTATGAATAATAAAAAGAAAACGAAATAAGTAAGAGCTATTGTGTTTCGATGTACACCAAATAAAACTATTTATATATATTTGTATTACACTGTGTAGCATTTTATTTTAGTTTTGATGTTTAGCCGCAGTTTTTTCTTCCAATACTGAAAGTAATTATCGAGAATATATCATTCTGGCGTAGTTCGCATATGAATATCATTCTTTATAAAATCTAAAAAGCTAAAAAATATAAATAAATTATGAATATTTTAAAACAAACTTATATATATATAACTTCTCATTTTTTATGTTACTCTGCAGCATGGGTAAAGAAGAGTGCTTGGAAGATAATGTTAAGCAAGGTACCTTACGAAACACGATTTATATGATTAAGCAAGGTGCTTTGAAATTAAAACGTTTATTATATTTTGTAGGTTAACCATTTTATTGGCATTTCTCGAAATTGCATACATAGTTTTCAGATCTTAGAGATCACACAGACATATCAGCCAGATGCACAGATGAACAGGACCAAATCAATTCAAAAAATAGTCATAAAGCAGAATAAGTATACTGCACAGAGTCGGAAACGCTTCTTTCTACCCGTTTCATACTTTTTAATGAATAATATATATCATTTGACTCTACAAGTAACGGGTTTAAAAATGTGAAAGTAAGGAAAAAAACATGTGTAATGCATCTGTTTCAAAAAGTACGATATTGTTGATGTTTTACCTCTGGTGTAGATGTTTGGAAGTTATTATTTAAGACCAAACTACTGTTTTTGAAATCATACTTTCTATTATTATCAACACAATTTACGCTAACGCCAACGATATTCTTGTCGTGCAACATTATTTGGCTGTTAGTACTGACTCCAGTACAGGAAGTCGTTCCATTTCCGACAATGGCGTTAGAGCTATTTGATACTACTGTAGCATTGCCAATGTTATTTCCATTTTTCTTAATATCCGGCACATTTAGAAAGCGAACGTGTTCATCTAGGCTTCCAGCTAATGCTTGGTGACTGGATAGGTTATATATGGCGGTCGTATTCAAATCACCGGAATTCAGTTGACAACTATTCACTGTCATTATGTTTGAGCCGTTACACATAACCGTTGACTGCTGGGCTCCAACTGGTGCAGACGCTGATATAGGTCTGTTTACGACATTTGCATAGCTTTGTGGATGCTGTTGTATTTGCTGATGTTGGTTAGATGGTGTTTGTTGCTGATGCGTTAAGTGTGGAGACTGTTGAGCATTTTGAGCTGTGGTCTTAAGAATGGATACCATATTGTATGCCTTATTTATCTGAAACTGAGTCTGAGATGTTGGGTGGTTATGATGCTGTTGCAGATGCAGCTGAAGGGATTGTGGCTTTGAGGGTGGCACCTGTTGGCCATACTTTTTGGTCTTTTTATTGGCTGGCAAAATCTACAACGGATTACAAAAGTGGGAATATTTCTAGGGTATATAATTTAGTTAGAAATTAATTTCAACTAATACAAACAAAAAAAAAAAACACAAAATAAAAAAAATAACAGCTTACAAAAAACGATAATTAAAAATAGGTGGTCGCTTTTTCGAGGTACATATCCCTTAAAAGCCTAACAAACGTACAACTAACATAAATTAAATCTAAACTAAAAATATCTTATTATTATACAGTATTACACTTTTGTACTGTGTTCGATAAAAATGTTGCTTTGCCTAAAATTTTGATGCGTGTCTCTAAGATACGTTTTTTTATTATTAAGTCATTTGCATCCCTTTTATTTTTTATCTGTTAAAATACATGCAAAAAACCAATTTTTTAGTTTTAATTTTTAATTAATTAATTATTATACAAATTCAATCATCTCCCAAACTACACACCATATAAGTTTATGCCACAACATTTCGCAGTGGCAAAGTAATCCAAGCATTAAAACCACCAGTCTTTCCAGATATTTATATTTCTCTTAGAAACAGTAAAACTGAATTAACGAATTTTACTGTTATAAATTTTCCACGTTAAATAATTGTAAAACCTCTGGATTTAGTGTTATCTGATTTCATGTCAATTCATTAATAAGTAATATGACACGATATATTAATATATTTATAATGTATGTTTAATATAAAAAATTCTGGGTAATAGTAGCTACTTCGAGAATCATTTTCTTGTTTACTAGCAAAACAAAGACTTTCGGGAATATCTCTTAAATTTCGTATAAAATTGGACATTAAACAAAACGGTTACGCCATATTTAATATATTTTACTCATAAAACAAGAGGAAATACTATAGTCGAGTACCGAGATTATAATATTTATAAATAAATTTCTTACCATGTATAACCACTTATAATATAATTAGATTCATTTGTAGTAGGTATGATAAAATGAATAAACTCGAATTGAATTGAATTTTTATGAATTTGTAAATAAGTGAGAATCGATATAACGTAAAACGGAAAGGTTTCAACCTTTGGCAGCGCGGAAGACTTTCAAATTAATCTAGTTGTTCAAAGCAAATTTGTAAATAATAATAAAAAAAAAATAAGTTTGAGTTTATTCGTTATGATCATGTGCAACTTACTTGTATGTTTGCGCAGTTTCTCACTCTAAGCATTGAAAATTGTTGCATTCATGCTAATATCTTAACTGGCAGGAAGTTATATGATAAAAATATTTTCCGACTTGAAACACTACTATTTGACCATTTGGGTCTAATTGTATAACTTTTTTTAATTATGTAGCTTTTGTTTCATTATCAACACTTTAATACTTTCGCAAATATAAATATAATAAAAATGATAATTTCGGCACTCAATCAAATAGTTTTAACAAAAATATTATTTATGATTATTATTATACCAATATTTTTGATAATAAAACAAATGCAAATTTGTTTAAAAAGATATACAATAATCTGTTAAAAAAATATCCACTCCAATAAAACTTTCACCAATAATATTTTACATTTCTTTCCTTATGTCCCATACGTCTGGTTTGGCTGTACAAGAAGTGTCATACCATATTAATTAACCATTTTAACAAAAGCGTCTTTCAATTCAATCGATTAATCAACCTAATAAAAATATAAGGATGTTCAAATATATTGGGACATAGGGAAAAATAATCAAATTATAAGGCACATAAAAATAGTACCAGTTGTATTAACAACGCATGATTCGTAAAGTATGTAATTAAGCAGTTTATTGTTCAACTGAACTTACCATATTTTGTGCTGAATGAGGCTGCATGACTTTCGCTATATCTGATTGTGTTGATATAGTTGGTATAGCTTGTTGCATAACGTACAAGTAATCCTAATGATTTAGTGTTATAAAAATCGCCAAACGGTTAACCTAGTCGTTTCATTGACGATTTCTGGGGTGATTTCAAACCCACCAATTATAGTCGTCACACAATCATTTGATTCTGCAATATAAATTATATAAATAAAGTGCGTTTTTGTTATGAATAAAATATTTTACCTGAAAATAGATTGAGTATCACTTACAAAAACGCATCTGGAATTTAAAGGAATAACACGGATAATATCGGCAAATGTCTGAGAAAGGTAACCAATTATTGACATAAGCTGTAGGTATAAACATTTTTAAATTTTAACTAAAAATTGTTTTTAAAAACTATAGTGTATTGAGCTTGCAGTCTCTAAATGACTTACATTTCTCATCTGGTACCCCAAAAACAAATTAAGCCTGTTAACTTTACATATTTGCCGACGTTGCTGTTGTGACGATAGACGTACATATGTATAATGTGCAAACGCAAAATCGCAATCGCAAAGCGCAGACGGAGAAAACGTGTCACCGAGTCCACCGTCTGCTTATATTTTTGAAGGATTCCCAAGAATGATAACAACGTGTTGTCGTTTAATTATATTTTTTCTAACTGCGAAATCGACTTGCAGAAAGTCATGTAATGTTTCCCAGTCCTCATTAAAGATCTCCAAATTACCTGGACATATGTGCCTCAAAGATGCGATTATTTACAAAAACAATAGGACTGTTAAAGATTCCACTTTAAGTGTATTTTCACAGCAATAAATGAAGCAGCACTTTGAGCTTTAAATCTTTACAATCAAAAACTTTTTTTTGTTAATTTCCACATGCAATGTGTTCTGTTCATAGGCACAGAGTTGCATTTCTTGTGGTATATCGACAATTTCTTAAATGATACCAATGTCTTAGAAAAATACTTTTGCGATAGTAATTGTTTTAGTTACTTCAACGTTACCAAAAATTTATTCGAATTAAAAAAATGACATAACACGATTTATTTTTTTTTACGGACATCCTTAAACTTAATAACTTAGGGTTTCTAGTGCAATAAATGTAAACTGCAAAATTGTGTCTGATTTTTCGTAATTTTATTTATAAATTAAGTTTTTACTTTTATCATATGTTTATCATATAAAATGTAGAGAACTACTACTACAAAACCGAACTGAAAACAAATAAGAATAAAAGAGTCTACTGCAGTTGTATAGAAATTTAAAATATAAATGTATCTGAAAAAGAAAACATAATGGAAATAAGTAATTTTTTAATATATACCAAAATCATGCTTTCTTTTATATATATTCTTCTTTGGTCACTTATATTGTTTAATACATCCTTGGAAAAGTGTAATGCCTAAACCATTTATCGTAATATAAAATAATTTTTAGCTGTGCTAGACTGGAGTTGTCTCAGTGAGAACGTTTATTCTGCGTTTTTCACTTTTTACATATAGCCATTATCTACATCAGCGAGCAAATCTGCATCTGTTTACAATTGATGAGGTGCTAAAATATACGAAATTCCTTTCGATACGCACACATTCTTACTTAATCATTTTTTTTATCTAATATGAGAAATTATTTCGACTTTTATTTGTTTTATTATTTAAAGAAAAACCAATCTACTGTCAACATTTTTTACAGGTTTTGTCGTTAATTTTGATATCGATGTGTCTGCATGAGTGGTGGAAATGTTGCAATGGGTTAGAGACTATGCCAAGCAGAGCATGGCTCTCTTAAGAAAAATTGGGCCACCGTTATTGAAATTTGGCGAAGAGACCAACAAAGATTATGGTTGGTTCTCTTAGGTATGCTGCTTCGAGGTGATTTTCCCCTTGAATTCTGTGAGAGATGGACAGTTAGAAGGATTGTTGTAGATGACTGCTTCCCCATTGTTGTTCTTTTTCTTGGTCACCGCTGCTGGTGCTGATTTCTTGGTTGTTGTTGTGCTGCTGCTGCCCCTACAAGAACTGATTTTGGGTTGGCTTATCATGGATAAATCAGTTAACCTACTGGTAATGCTAAGACAAGACGTACGTGTATCACTAAAAAAGTAATCCAAAAATAAAGAAAGTTAAGGTTAGTTGCCACATAATAAAACATGTAATTTTATAATGTAGAATTATTTGACTACTGGTAAAATAAGTTATTGAAGTGATAATATAAGTCAATAAATAAAAATATCACAGTGATTGGATTGTTTTATGAAATTTTGAACCATATGTAGCCCGTAATTTGAAATAGAATCACTTAAAAATAATTTATTTCTTCGAAATATAGTGGACTCAACATTTTATAATAATTTTGCGCATATATATTTATATCTGTAAAAGTGTATGAGTGTAATTTTTGTGGTGCTTTTCCTAACGCATTGCTTTCACAGCTTCGAAACAACGCCATCATCAATACCATTCTTGTTGGTACTTCTTGGTTGAGTTCCTACAACCAAAGCTTTTAGATTAACTTTAGTACAGAAGCTTTGATTTTTTACCAGGGCTAAAGACACATTTTATTAATGACACGAACCAAAGGCTAGAGGAAGCTCAATAATGTTGAAATATGTAAATATATAAAACCATAATATAGATGATAGTCCAGTGACAACTACAACTCTGTTACTCACAGCTAATGAATGGTGCCTGCTGAAAAGGGAACTCTTGTCAAAATTAAATACTTACCGACAAAAAAAGAAATGAAGATATCTAACACGTTTTCGGTTTTACTGCTAAACAGAGAAGCAATTCGAAGTTTGACTTACATAGATCTCTCGATCCCATTCGATTAGATAGATACAGTCGGTCCCAAAAGTCGCGTTCCACATGAATAAATGATTGCAATTATTTGATTGGATTCCAATTTATTAAAGTTTTATTTATTGGCGAATCGGATGTTCTAACAAAACTTTAACTTATTCGATGTTAGTTACCTTTAATTTGTCAGTTTTAATGAGTTTAATATAATAGCAACGGTGACCTTCAAGTCGAGACGTTAAAATTTAAAATCATAGCATATTAATGTTGATTTGGTTGTTTTTTTCTATTAAAATAAAAGATTATAATAAAAACTTATTGGTAATAAATTGGTATTTTTAGTTGTTTTTGTTTATTAAATATTTGGAATTAACTTAGCTAAAAATTTACGTTAGTGCATTGTTGATTGATAGATTTGGTTAATTTTTGAGACATTACCCCAAGCTTAACATCGGCCTTAACCTGAGACTCCCTTTTTTGATTTGATTAACTTGATTTGGGAGTTTTGTGGATGAAAAGTCAGTGCTTCGATTACCATCTCAAAATAATTATAATAGTTGACCAGCAAAAAATGTTAAGTAAGTATGAAACTATATATCTTAAATCTGTTATTAAAAACATTAGGTCGTAATTCTCAACTAGCGGTGAAGTCGTTCTAAAATCTTAACATTTTAAATAAACTTGCTAGAAAATATAACATAGCTATCTTAATACTTTTGAACATATACTAATTACAATATTCACATTATGGAGTTTCGATATTTATTATTACGTATTCGTTTTTATTTGTTCTCTATTTTCAGAAAGTCCCTGGAAATCAAAAGAACATAGGCCAAAAAATGTACCTGCATATGGCTTTAAAAAATTGAAAATAAGAATTTGAATGCCATTGCAAAGATGCAACAAAAAAAAAAAAACCCCATTTTTCTAGTCCTTACGATGGTGCTGTCGTGGAGTGCAGTGGCTAACCTAAAAAGTCCTGGTAACACACACATTCAGGATACAGTTTCAGTTTCTTTGCCCGGGGACATAATACTTGGTGGGTTATTTCCTGTACATGAAAAAGGTGAGAGCGCTCCATGCGGACCAAAAGTATACAACAGAGGAGTACAACGCCTTGAAGCAATGCTCTATGCTATAGACCGAGTAAATAACGATTCCAATATACTTCCTGGAATAACGATAGGAGTCCATATTCTGGACACTTGTTCAAGAGACACATACGCCCTCAACCAATCTCTTCAATTCGTAAGAGCCTCCCTTAACAACTTGGACACATCTGTGTTCGAGTGTTCAGATGCGTCAAGCCCAAAATTAAGAAAAAACGCTTCGTCAGGTCCGGTATTCGGAGTTATTGGGGGATCGTACAGCTCCGTGTCTTTGCAAGTAGCAAATTTACTCCGTCTGTTTCATATTCCTCAGATATCTCCGGCATCAACAGCTAAGACACTATCTGACAAATCACGATTTGATCTTTTTGCTAGAACAGTACCGCCAGATACTTTCCAATCGGTAGCTCTTGTAGATATACTAAAGAATTTTAACTGGTCCTATGTGTCGACGATTCATTCGGAGGGTTCTTATGGTAAGTCTTGATAATAAAAATAACTAACATCACTTCAAATTCTTGGTTATAATTTATTTTATCCTTGTAGAGGGCTAGGGCGCAATAAGGATCACATGCGGAGACGATCACGTTTATCGTGAAAGTAGTCTCAGGTTTTAAAGCTTAATTGCAAAATATCCAGGGAAAAAAAATGTAAAAGAAGATGAAACGGTATTGTGCGCCGCGACTATAAGATACCCGTTACGGTCACATCCAATTTTGAAACTATCATTTTTCTAGCAGAAATACAAGCAGTGAATAATTTTACTAGCTCCACCTTTTGTGAGACAAACAAGCATGTTTAATAACTGACGCTGACGTCACTGACTTTGTATTTCTTAATAAGTTTTGAAATAATTTTACGATTTAAAAAATGATATACAAGGTCAAACAAAAAAAATGCGGTTTTTTTGTTCGAATGACCGGATGATAATTGGCGGGATAATGGTATCACCTTGAGTTGCACTGGCATTTTAAAAATATGCTTCCTTTATTTCGAATTTCTATGATTTCTAGCTAGCTAATTTAATCTTTCGTGTTTTGTAGGCGTTCGAGTGGGGAAACGCTGAAATAGGGATCCAAAGAATCTGAATGCTTGGTCTCAACTTTGTAGATCTTATAGTTCCTGAGATTCCAGTGTTTATATGGACAGACGTAAAGGGATAAGTCGACTTGGCTATTTATCCTGATCCAGAATTTATACACTTAATGGGATTGGAAGCGCTTCTATCCACCTGTTACATACTTGTCAACCAATACAATACGTCTTTTAATTTACGAGTAACGAGTATAATTATAGTTTCGTTGTTCTGTCATTTTGCTCCTCCATTTTATAATATTTTTTTAAACATATAAATATAGAATTCCAGCTCTTATTACATTTTATTTTCATAGGAAAGTTCAAAAAATTAATAAAAATACATTGAGGAACGCTGTAGAAGAGTGCCCCGATTTATATTAACGAAATATTTTTTTGGCTCTTATCAATTTGTAGGTGAGTATGGAATTGAAGCTTTCCACAAAGAAGCCACCGAGCGCAACGTGTGCATTGCGGTAGCGGAGAAAGTACCAAGCGCCGCAGATGACAAAGTTTTTGATTTAATTATAAGCAAACTTCAAAAAAAACCAAACGCTCGCGGAGTGGTTCTTTTTACAAGAGCCGAAGATGCGCGACGTATTCTACAGGCAGCGAAACGTGCTAATTTATCACAACCGTTTCATTGGATTGCAAGTGATGGTTGGGGTAAACAACAAAAACTCCTAGAGGGGCTGGAGGACATTGCCGAGGGCGCAATAACTGTAGAACTCCAGTCAGAGATAATAGAGGATTTTGATCGTTACATGATGCAACTGACTCCAGGCACAAACCAAAGGAATCCTTGGTTTGCTGAGTACTGGGAGGATACGTTCAACTGTATTCTGGCACCCGTTTCGGAGAAAAATAACACTCTAAACATAGTCGATTCTAGTGACGTTAAGACCGGCATGAAGGCTAAAACAACATGCATCGAAAGTTTTCGTTTATCTGAAAAAGTTGGGTAAGTTAGAAAATAAAAATAATAAATCTTGCTTAGGTTTATAAGCTTAAACTTTAAACTTAAAATCAGTTTTATCGGTCTTTCTGCAAGTAACCAACACCTTACATTTTTCTATTATTAATATAAGTTGATGATATGTTAGAGACATTTAACAACAAAAATAAGTTAAAAATATTGTTTCAGTTTGTTCTTAAAAACAGTCAAAACGTACTTTTGTTCCACGTAAAAACTATAAAAACGCAAATCCTTTTGGACACTCAGTAAAAGAACGTACTCGGTAGGATTCTGTAGTAGTCTTTACATGCTTCTTATATCAACATTTTACCTCTAGTCATCAAATTTATTATTCTTTCTAAAAAGAATTCAGTAGATGTCTGTGCTCGTCACACTACATATATAGAACACGGTTCCAAAGTTTAAGCACTGCAAGGAATTTAAACAACTAGCGCGCCCGCCTCGCTTCGCTCGGTACGCTTGTTATTCAATGAGGAAGGCGAACGTCGCGCTGCGCGCTACGCTTCTTAAGCTTGATATAGTCTAAGGCTTATGTACAATGCACGGCCAAAATTCAACATATATTGAAATGTTTTGGGATATACAATGGTTCTTGTTTTTCCATCAGGTGCTTAAACGAATAAATAGGAAGATTTTCCGACGCGTGACCAGGCACATAAAGCTGCCCATGTGCTTCTGAAGCTTGATATAGTCTAAGGCTTATGTACTATGCACGGCCAAAATTCAACATTTATTGAAATGTTTTGGGATATACAATGATTCTTGTTTTTCCAACAGGTGCTTAAACGAATAAATCGGAAGATTTTCCGACGCGTGACCAGGACACATAAAGCTGCCCATGTGCGAAGCATGGATTCTCCAAATTTTGTACGCACACATGCAATGATTGTCCTTGTTTGATAACATTGTTCATCAGTTTATTGACTTAGGTTCCACTGAAAAGTCGAGGTGGATTTATATTTCGAAGGAGAATGATGGGTTCGCCAATTTTCAATATGAACGTGCGGTGGCAAGCCTGGAAAATCAAGAATTCAGTTGGACAGTTGAAAACTTCGTTCTGATTCATCACAGTATCGATGGTGGTGATAGATTGTGTAGATTCATTAATTTTCATTTTCCCATTTTCAATATCTATTAATTTTTTTGCAAATATTTCAGCCGATGCATCATGTTGTAGTTGTACACCCATATTGGTTTTAAAGTCAATTTTTGTAAAAGAGGCCATTAAATGGAAGTTGATTAGCAGGTGTTGAACGTGGCATAACGTGGTTCTTGTGAGACATTGTGCATTCGTCCCATATAATAATTTGACACGTTTGTCTATTCCAGAGTTTTTTTGATGTTGCATATGAGATCCTGTGCTTTGTAAATTCAATGCTGAATGCGCTGTTTGTCCACCATCTAAAAGAGTTTCCGCAATTCCAGATAATGCAAAAGGCAGTGCAATATTATTTTGTAATCCTATTGTTGCCAAAATGAGCGATAAAAGAAAAGTCTTGCCAGTACCACCGGGCGCATCTAAGAAAAATAGTCCAACGCTTTCTTTGGTTGCACGCACAATTCTGTCATACGCAGTGCGTAGTTCTGGAACCAACTGCGGAATACTTCTTTGAACAGATGTCCTGAGAAACAAAGATTTTTTCTCGTTGCAATTCACAATCGAGCAGGTCATTTGCTGGACAAAACAGAGAGCTGACAACTATAAAAATGCAGAGCTGCCAACTTTAAACTAATAGTGTCCATTTTAGAAATTGCCATTGCAACCTGACATGAGTTTTCATACGGCCACGCCCACTCTAACGCCCACAAACCACGGAAATTTGTGGAGTCCATAATATTACAATGAATTAATATGTTATGTATGTGTATGTATGACAAAGATTTTTCAAATCAAAAAATTATTTCGCTATTTATGAAGAAACGTAGGTTATAAGGCCACTCATGGGCAGTGACGTCACTATCAGTTACTCAACATGCTTTCTCTGACACCACTTATTGTCAGAGAAAGCATGTTGAGACTCGATTATCTGCTTGTTATATATATAGATTCTTGAATAAATATTGTTTCTAACTCGAACTGCTTTGATGTTGTTCCGGTAATGACAAAAAAATCAAATTTTATGTCAAAATCTCTTCCTTCTTAGGGATTTTCAATGAATATATTAAACCCTTTTGGCCTTTGAGAAATGGGGGCAATACAAATTGAAATAGAAAGAAAGCATTTATAATACGGTTTCTAATAATTATACAATGAAAAAAAAACAACATTAAGGAATAATAGAAAAACACAAATATACTTTTACTTAAACTTGAATATGGATGACTGTTGAGAAAATATTTGGCTGGAATTATACGGTTCCTGTAAGCACTCTTAGGTTTAATAATTGTTTTTTTTTTTCATTTTACTACTAAAAATCTTTCAATTTAAGAAATTAACAGACGATACAATTTCTTTAATTACAGATACCAGCAGGAATCAAAGACTCAATTCGTTGTGGATGCTGTATACGCATTTGCCTATGCACTTCACAATTTGCACAATGATCGTTGTATCACCCAAAATGACCAAACGTCTGAGCATAGAAAACATCAACATAGTGAATCCGTATGGTATCGAAAACTATCGACAGATACCAAGTCCCAGGCGTGTCCCGACATGGCAAATTACGACGGAAAGGATTTTTACAACAATTACCTCTTGAACGTTTCATTCATAGGTTGAGTACATATTATACACGTTACTTGTAGAGTAAAAGGGTATATTATATCCGTTGAAAAGTATGTAACAGGTAGAAGGAAGCGTTTCCGACCCTATAAAGTATATATAATATATATTTTTGATCAGGATCAATAGCCGAGTCGATTAATCCATGTCTCCGTCTGTCTGTCCGTATGAACGCTGAGACTTCAGGAACTATAAGAGATGCAAAGTTGAGCATAAGCAGGCAGATTCCTGTTTATTCCAGCATAACGCACACCACACAAACCGCCAAAAACTGTGGCGTCCATAATATTATATAGAATGTCTTGTCAAGGTCGTTTGACCTTGTATAATTTTTCAAATCCGAGCATTATTTCGCTATTTATGAAGAAATGTAGGTTATATCACCACCAGTTACTCAACATGCTTTTTCGACAAAAAGTGGCAAACAGTAACGGGTATCTTATAGTCGCGGCACTCGACTATAGCGTTTCTTCTTGTTATTTTTTTAATTTTAATTATTATCTCTTTAATTTCCATTGGACATTATTTGGGCTGACCCAAAAGATCTTACTGGCAGCGAAGTCAAATTTGATCGCCAAGGAGATGGACTAGCCAGATATGATATTTTGAACTATCAACGTTTAGAAAATTCTTCGGGATATCAGTATAAGGTATAAAAATTTTAATTCCAATTTTTTTTCAATATTATATTTCTACATTATATATGCTTAATCTTTTTCGGCTCGGCGTTTTTAGTTCTAAACGTTTCGTGGGCGTTACCGCAGCCGAAAGCTGCAACTTGCGCTGCTTAGAAATTTTTAGAATCTACATGCTAGAATTAACATGCAACATTCTTGGGATGTGCGAATACTAGCAGCGCAAGTTTGTTTCGGCATTCGGACACTACCACAAATCGTGATAAGCTGAGCTCCACGATCTCTTGAACTATAAGAGCAAGAATGTTTAAAATTGTTTTAAAGTTGTTTCAACAGCCGTCCACGCCTATAAACAAACTACCAAAATCCGTACGTTCTATCTCAACAAACGCTAAAAATGTCTACGCAACCCAAGGTTGCCTCACCACCTAGACAGGCTCGAAATCTCACAAAAAACGACAAAGTGTGGCGATGATAATATTAAGATTGAAGTTGTGTTTTACCATAAATAATGTTTTTTCGATATCTATCGACCACGTCTGTCCATCTCTCTCTCTTAAGGGAACATAGATTGAAATAGGCAGTTTCTACTAAGAGTTTATAACAAGCAATGGCCCATCTATTCAAAACTTACACACACAAATGTTAGTTACGTTCAAAACGGATGTTGTAATCAAACAAAATTTTAGGTCATCGGCAAGTGGTTTAATGGTTTGCAACTTAATTCTGAAACAGTTGTGTGGAACAAGGAAGCTGAGCAACCAATTTCGGCCTGTTCTCTGCCGTGTGAGGTTGGGATGATTAAAAAACAACAGGTATGCCTTTATTTTTTATTTACAGCCCCATTTTACGCGGAATTTATTTCTTCTAGGGAGATACATGTTGCTGGATATGTGACAGTTGCGAGTCATTTGAATACGTGTATGACGAGTTTACCTGTAAAGACTGCGGTCCAGGACTTTGGCCCTACGCCGATAAGCTTTCTTGCTATGCACTAGACATTCAGTACATACGATGGAACTCGTTATTTGCCCTCACTCCTATGGCAATAGCCATATTTGGTATTGCAGTGACAATTATAGTAATAGTGCTGTTTGCTAAAAATCATGATACTCCATTGGTAAGAGCATCAGGACGAGAGCTAAGCTATACTCTTCTCTTTGGTATTTTGGTTTGTTTCTGTAATACGTTTGCGCTGGTAGCTAAACCTACCGTTGTCTCTTGCGTTCTGCAGAGATTTGGAATAGGGGTTGGCTTTTCTATTATATACAGTGCTCTGCTTACCAAAACCAATCGGATTTCACGAATCTTTCACTCTGCTTCAAAGTCAGCACAGCGCCTTAAGTATATAAGTCCACAATCACAGGTGGTGATAACAGCCTCTCTGATTGGTAAGTTATTATTAAGTTTAATTGAATGTTATTGACAATAAAGTTACATTACTATCCATTAGCAATTCAGGTACTAATCACAATGATTTGGATGGTTGTTGAGCCTCCGGGAACCCGTTTTTATTATCCAGACCGAACGGAGGTGATTCTTAAGTGCAAAATACAAGACATGTCATTTCTATTTTCCCAGTTGTATAATATGATTCTCATAACAATATGCACAGTTTATGCAATTAAAACGAGAAAAATACCTGAAAACTTTAATGAGTCAAAGTTTATCGGATTTACCATGTATACAACATGTATTATCTGGCTAGCTTTCGTACCTATATACTTTGGAACCGGCAATTCATATGAGGTTTGTACTAGTCGAACGAAAAATTTTTTAGCCTTAATAATTGGTTATAAAACTAACTAAGAAGCTAAATAATAAATCATTATTTTTATTCCAAACTATATAATTATTTTAAACTACGCTTTTCTGAAATAAAGAATTAAATATAAATGCTTTATTAATTAGTTGATTTTTTACAGGTACAAACAACTACGTTGTGCATTTCAATTAGTCTAAGTGCATCAGTTGCTCTTGTGTGCCTATATTCACCAAAGGTATACATCTTAGTCTTTCACCCGGACAAGAATGTTCGTAAGCTGACCATGAACAGCACCGTCTATAGGCGATCAGCAGCAGCTGGAACTCAAGTAGCGCAAACCAGCTCCGGGTATAGTCGCACACAGGCAGCAGGCTCTACTGTGCCGACAGGAGGAGCGATAGGTTCATCGGCATGTGCAAGTGCGATTCCAACACAAAGCAGCCACAATCTGAATGAAGATCCTAACCAAGCATCCGTTGTTAACAAAACCAGCGAAAGTAAGAATGGTGAATTCCCTTCTGAAGAACGCGAATGTGCTGGGCCAATATATAACCGAGTAAAAGATTAGGATTCGGCTCGAAAAATACCATAACAACCGATGCTTTTATGAAGTTACGTTATGGAGATATATAATATTTAACTTTTTTTTTAACTTTATCGGCTAATACGAAACTTCATTTTATGAATGATTTAGAATATTGTCCATACATTGCCATACTAAATAAAATTTCTAAAAATGTCTAAGTTGTGCATTGCTCACATCAGTAAGTGAAGTAGTTCTATTTGGATAAATTATTAAATTATATAATAGGGAATTAAAATGAAGAATATGAGAACATTTTTAGAAATAACCACTAGTTAACTAGTTAACAACTAGATTTACACATTTTACTCATTAATTAGGAAGATAAATTAAAAACGTGTAAAATTATACAAGTAAAATTAATAATTTCCTGTAAATCATTTATCTAAATGTGGATGTTCAACATCATTACATTACAAAATGGTGACAGATGGAACAGAGCCCCTACATTGCCGTAATCGGCTTTGTATATTAAAATGAAGGAAAATATTCAGTTTTAATATTTTAAAAGAGGCAAGACGGTTGATTTCTCAGCCATTCAAATGCCTTTAGGCTTAAATGATGTTTATTAATGTATATATTTTGGTTTTGGACTTAGCCATTTAGGCTTATAGTTTATAGATTAAGGTGGGACATCTTACAATGGGTTAAAAAAAATTGGCAACGATTCCTGTTTAATGAGAAAAGAGTATTTAAGCGTAAAATTTTGCATTAAAGATTTAAATTATGAGCACGAGGAAAGCAACAAAATTGTCAATCAGTCCTGTTTAATAAGAAAAAATACCGAAAACATTTTATAGAAATGTTTAATAAGAAAAAATACTGAAAATATTTTATAGAAAAAAAAAGTTTGGAAAGAGAGTATTCCACTTATCCCTAACATATCTGCATTAAAATGGCTTTTGGGATCTAATTTTGCATTAAAGATTCAAATTAGGTTTGATCTTATTTAAAATTATAAATAAGGAAAGTACCAATTACGTAAAATAAATATCTATCAAAAAGATATCCATAACTACAGTGTATACGGAAAGGTCATTAAAATAGACAACTCCTGGTAATACTAATAAGAAATAAGAAATTTATAGGATATAGGATTTAAATAATATATATTTCTGAACATTATTCTTTACTCTACAAAGGACTCATCGGGATCACCAATCGACTCGCTCTCGTCATGACCCTCGGCACTTTCGTAAGATCGTTCGTAATCTTCGAAATGTAAGAGCTAGAAAGTTATCAATAATGCAGATTTTAGTGATACTTAAGCAGCTCACTTATTTCAAACAGACAATTTTTCAAAAACTTTTAACATCTGGTACCTTTTTCGAAATTATATATTGCAGTAACGGATCTGATTATTTTATAAATATTATTTTTCAATTAGTTCTATCGCATTTTTACATATATACTATATACTAAATACTTTTTTCAAGGAAAACAATATTTTTGACGTAGCAAACTATATTATGTACAGACATTCTGACACTTAAGATTAAGCCAAAATATCAATTACCAAATCGTGAATTTCCTTAAAAGTCAAAACTAGAATAGGGCTGATAGCTAATAATATATAAGTATAATATATGTTCATACGTTAATAAAGAAAATATATAAATCGCCCAATAAAACCAAAATGGTTTTTATTCTTTAAAATTTACAAGTTGACACTTAGGAATTTATTAGATGATAGGCAGCTCGTTAAATCTATTCAATAATTTTAAATTAAAATAGTTTTCAACACAAAAAAGGAAAATCCGCCCCTAAAATTTTATATATTTGTTGAAAGCTATAGTTATAAGAGTTTTTGGTTGTTTTTTTTTAATTATTATTATTTCATTTAAATAGCCAAACATTAGATTGATCAATGGACCAATTGATTCTATTTAAATATCAGACCAATAGTTCTAATTGGTACATGTGCAGTTTCCATATACCACAGAAATCATACAACATATCGTAAAACTCACGCATTTACTGTAAAGAAATTGCATTAATAAAATTTTATACCACAGAATTAAGTTTAGGTTTATAGAAATGACTGTGGGGCTCTATGTTATTTTATAACATCGGGTAGCGCCAGTAAAATTTTAACTGTACTCTAATTGCGCTTTGTGACTGCAACATATCAAGACATTTAGTTTATTAACAGGATTATTCATAAGAAAACGTCTATATCTACATATATGATAAAACAATCTTAAGCTGTGCTTGCATCTCTAAATTATGCAAACTTCTTCCCAACTTTCTAGCTCATATGGTTCTTGATTTAAAAAAATTGTATATATATAACATAATAGTTCCCGAGATATAATCGTTGAGGAATATATATATATATATATTTTTCAGTCCTTATATTGTTACATAGTCTTTTAGACACCTCGGACATTTAGCTTTATGATATATATATTTTTATACCATATTTTAACAACAAACGAATGCAAATTTCCTTATTATATTTTCAATTCTCCCTTTGGAAGCTAAGTGACAAAAATGGGGGAAAACTTTAAACATGCAGTTATAAAAAGTTGGGAGAAAAATTATATTAAATTCATCAAAATAAATATACTACACATAAAGTTTTCTTACAGCATGATAAGATTGTTGCTGGCCTAATAAGAACATATAAAATTAAACAAAAAAAAAAAGGGCAAATGTGTTGTAGAAGCTATTTGGATAACTCTTGGTAACTTCTTGAAATGTCGTCGAATGGAATATAGTAGATCCTAATCCACTGAGATGAGTTGAAAGTGCACACATTTTTTGAGCTTTAATAATTGGTTGTGTATTATTTACAGTAAAATATTTCTTACAATATGAATCTGTAAATACTTTAAATAGTTTTAGTTAATTTATAGAAAACTACAGCTATAGCTCAAAATTTTAATTTTGTACCCATTTTAAATAAGGATCGTGACAATATACACACATTCCTAAGCATAAACCAATATGAATCTCAAACATTAAAATATTTGATCAATTAAATATTTAATTGTATTCTTTTAAAGTTGAAAATTTCTTAAATAATTAATTATGCACGACGGCTGAGGAATGTTGAATACTACGTTCAAATTCTTCTAAACTAAGCGCTTGGTTCATATTTAAAAGCGGCAGTTTTCCAGCTGAAGCTTTTGCAAGAAGCTCCGGGGAAAACCATTGTGCCAATTGATTATTGGTTGGTGATTGTATCCTCTCATCCCTGTGGTATGCGGAAGTAGTAATGCTATTATTTTTTATCATATTTCCAGGATCGGAGTTGTCAGAAAAATCTACAATTTAATTAGATATCTTGTAGTCTTATCTGGTAGTTTAAATGTAAGTTTCTTACTTGGAGCAGGCGAAGACATTTGTATATTCGATTGACGGTGCACGTCTCCATAAATTAGCCTATGTCTAGGCTGTTGTCGTATCTGATTCTGCTGATGTTGCAGGAAAAGTTGGTACCATCCAACAGGAGATGACATGTTTTGATGCACATTTTCAGTACTCAAAGCTGATTCCACAGATTGGGTAGATTTAAACCTGAGTTGGTGGGGTGGCTGCATCTGCTGTTGTTGATGAACTGTAGGCATTTCAATTTTATGGCTACTAAAGGGAACTGTGGAATTTTGTTGCGGCAATGAATTAAGGCTTCCTTTCAGTATTGGACGACCTAAGATAAACGAGTGAAAAAAAATTAAAGAAGTAAAGCCATTTTAAATTTTGTTTACCTAATGCCCAGACCCATTTTTAACCTTAAATTAAAATAATAAACAACAAGGCGAAACGCTAAAGTCGAGTGCCGCGACTATAAAATACCCGTTTTACACAATTTTAAAATATCCATTTTGCTAGGCGCCACCTATTGTCGGAGAAAGCATGTTGAGTAACTGATAGTGACGTCACTGCCCATGTGAGGCCTTATAACCTAAATTTCTAGACGCCACAGTTTTCCGAGGTTTGTGGGCGTTAGAGTGGACGTGGTCGGATGAAGTGGCATCTCTAAAATACATATTCCTAAGCCTAACTTTCTAGCTCTTTTAGTTCACGAGATTCTTGCATTTTGTTTTTGTGGGCGTTAGGGTAGGCGTGGCTTGATCGGTAAAAAACAATTCGCATTTGGGGCATCATAAAAACCTACAAGCTTAATCCGAACATGCTAAATCTGAACTTTCCGAGCTGTCCCGGGACCTCAAGAATCTCCATGCTTAATCTCAACTTTGTATCTTGTATAGTTCCCGAGATCTCAGCGTTCATACGGACGGACGGACAGACGGACATGGCTCAATCGACTTCGCTATTGATTCATTTACTAACACAAATACAACAATACATGCGCATATTTATTTGTTTTGCGTTGCTTTGTAGCTCTACAAATGGCCCCTTTTTTGCAACCATAGCATAGGGGTTTTTATCAATACCAATTCAGAAAAACTTCCACACAAATACGATTTCATTTTACCAAAATCCATAAGAGCACTTCTACACCCCATGCATTTAAAATGAACAAAAAAATTAACCAGTTTTTAGAATAACGATTGTTAATCGGGAAAGTGAAAGCGGCAAAAATCCTTATCAAATATAACCATAAAGAAAAGAAGCATAGGTAACTGTGAGATCTTAACCACTTTTCCTCAACAGCTCCTATATCATATTGATCAGAATTCGTGGGCTTTGTTTACCAGGAAACCCAATCTGATCCTGGTCCTTAAGATGTGTATTTTTGTCTGAGGGCAGGAATAGGTTTGTAAATAACAATTTATCCTTATATTATCCTATCGATAATCATTAAATACACATGATGCAGTAGCGTTGATCAATTTTTACTAGATTCTTTGATATTCTTGATTTATCAATGAGTAATTCATTAAATGTTATTATCCCTAAATAAACAAATTCTTGCTCGCGAGATTGGTTAACCTAACATCCATTCTTGTTTGTAATAGAATATTCCATACTGTTTCTTGACTTACCAAAAGATTTTCCTTGCACGACATGCATGTTACCGGTGGCCCATTTTAACACTTGTTGATTACGACACTGCGGCATTTGGTTATTAAGTCCAATGGCAAAGTTCCCACCGCCTAATATCATTCGGGGCTGTGCGGCCATAGTGGCAGTCGGCTGCGATTCATGTACATTTTTGTGCGTACTTATTTGCTTGACATGCTGTGAGTTTAAATATGGCGTCTGCAGGCTATGAGATGAACATAGTGTTTGAGTTGCCTCTTTATCGGCTGTCATTTTCCTTAGAACTGATGTAGGAGTAAAAGCTAAGGGAGGTGGCGATGTACCGTGAGCCATAAGCTGGTTAATTGTATGATTAGATGTATTTTGAGGAAGCAAATCTGTAATAAAATATAAACATCGGATTCAATGTAAATGAATTAAAGTACATTCAGAATATTTTTTAGTGGCTTATAAGGCCTCATATGGACAGTGACGTCCCCATCAGTTTATAAACAATATTCTGATAATAAGTGCCGCTGGTGAAATTGTACACGGCGTCAATATATGCTACCAATAAATTAACCTCAATATAATATTGGCGTTAGAGCGAGCTTGGCCAGATGATGAAACCACCTTGAATTAGCATCCCAACAATAAGCATGTTAAATCTAACTTTTCTAGCTCATATAGCCCTGAGATGTCCGCCCTCCTAGTTTTTCACATTCTGTGGCCGTGCTGAAAACCTGTTTCTTTATACTTCACTACGAGTAACAGGTATACAAACCAAATACATTACCAAATTAATGCATAATGCATATTAATGCATGCTAAAAGCATTAAACTTTAACTTTTAATATACCTATAAGACTTGTAATACAAACCTTCAGAGTAACGCTGCTGGATCTGTTGAGCTTGAAGAGCTGAAGGATTAAAGATGTTGAGTTCACCCATGGCCATAAGATTTTTTTTACTATGGGAATATTCACGGAGGACCGTTGAAATAACTTCTTTTGCGGTGACTGGAGTGCTCGGATTACTCAACTCCTTTTCCAAAAAGTCCAATGAAACGTCTCCGCAAACGAGTCCTATTTATAATTAAAAACAAGAAAAAACGTTATAGTTGAATTCCGCGACTATGAGATACCCGTTACTGTTTTATAATTTTAAAATATTCATTTTGCTAGTGGAAATTCACAAAGCGCCACCTTTTGTCAGACAAAGCATGTTGACTAATGGTGGCGTCACTTCCCATGAAGCCTTATTACATAAATTTCGAAATAATGTTCCGATTTGAAAATCGATCGATATAAAGTAGAAATATTATACAAAGTCAAACCAAGACATAAATTTTAATATAATGGACGCCACAGTTTTCCGCGGTTTGTGGGAGATAAAAACCGCTTTGAACTCGGAACTCCCTAGCTCTTGTAGTTACCGAGATTTGAGCGTTTTTGATTTTCCGCATTTTGTGGGCGTTCGGGTAGGCGTGGTCAGATGGTGAAAAAATAATACGCATCATTAAAAACTACATGCTTAATCCCAACTTATCAGTTATAGTTACTAAGATCTCAGCGTTTCTTCGAAAACCGTCTTTCGAGCGTGGTGGGCGTGGCCGGATAGTGGTTTCACATTAAGATGCGCTGCCATCTCAAGAGAACACATACTTAATCCCAATTTTCTAGCTCTAACAGTTTCTGAGGTTTTTAGTTCGTGATTTATGGGCGTTAGAGTGGGCGCGGTAAGATGCTGATAAATAATAATATTAAATAAACTTGCGCTGCGTAGGGACCTCAAGAATCTGTCTGCTTAATCTCAACTTTGTATCTTTTATAGTTCATAATCTGTTAATACAAGGTCAAACGAAGACATAGACTATAATATTTGTGTGCGTTAGAGTAGGCGTGGCATTTGGGGGCATTATTAGAAACTGCATGCTTAATCCCAAATTTCTATCTGTTATATTAACGAGATATCAGCCTTTCTACAAAAAGCGAAAACCGTCTTTCCGGCTTGGCTGGCGTATTCGAATAATAATACCATTTTAGTTTTCCGTGATTTGTGGACGTTAGAATGGGCGTGGAAAAATGCTGAAATAAACTAACAAAATGTATTGCGTGCTTTGATATTAAAGTAATATCGAAGTAATCTAAAGGATAAAAGTCAGCAGTCGCAGTTTTACTGGCATGTCCACTTAATATGCTTAATCCTACTTTCTGGTCCTTCGATACTTCCCTAGATCCCCGCGTTCAAACCGAAAACGGATAAACATGGATAAATCGATTTTGCTAATATATGTCCAATCGCTTTCGCTTTTTGCGCGTGTTTAACACGTGCGTAGTTAATGAGACCTTAGCGCTCATACTGACAGACAGACACGGCTGAAACGATTCGGCTATTGATCCTGATCAAGAATGTGAACTTCATGAGATCAGGAAAACTTCCGTTTACCTGTCACATACACTTCAACGAATACATTATACTCTACCAATAACATATAATTAGGATTTGACCTCATAACTAGGCGCAAAAAAGCTAGGGGCGAAAATAAATAATATTTTTAATACAAATCTTACTTTGAATTAGATGTTCGATTTCCATACGATTTTGGGTATGTACGTGATTATTACTCGGTATGTTTGGCACATAAGCATTTAGCGCAGGTTGCTGCGGATGACAGTCATTTACCTTATGACTATGATTTGACTCAATCTGGTCATGTATTGTATTTGTATGGTAAACGTCATTGCCAGAATGAGGCTGTTTGGTCTGAGAACCCAACTGCTGTAGTAGTTTTTTGAAGGCCTCCGTGTCTCTAGAAATTGGTTTTTCAGCTTCAACTATCTGAGGGAATGGTCCGGCTACTGGACTCACAGAATCCGTCTTTATGTCCATTTTAGTCATTTGTGCTTCTAATTCTTTGACACTTGGAATACCTTAAATATGAAGATAGGTGCTGGTCAGCAAGATAGTTAAATTAAGAAGTAAGAATATCGACTTACCAAGTTTTTCTTGAGTATGAAGATCTCCCAAACTGAGAGTCTCAGGCTCTTTATGTCGAAACCATCGACTAAAACGTGAAGTCGCCTTCGTTTCATTTTTTTCAATACCGTCATTACTCTGTTTAAAGTAAAAAAATAATCCATAAAGAAATATGTAACTAAACGAATTCAACTAAACGAAGCATCGTTTCAATGTAGTTTCTAATATAAAAATATGAAATGCTCAGGAATTTCACAGCATATTTACCATTAGAGAATTATCCAAAGGATGCATGTTAAGAAATGCATCAAAATTAAATTCACTTTCAGAAGTTTGGCTGTACTGCAACTGACTTGGCTGGTTTTTATTGTGTTTGCTCATTTCCGATGTATTTTGAATGAAATTCAGTATATTTTCTCCAGTGTCTTTTATATCGTTACTTGGATTTGCGTCGCTTAAGCTTAAACTGACATTGCTACTCCTTCTTGAAACTACATCATTGTTTCGTTGAGCAACCAACTTTGTATCAAGTTGCGGAAATTCTTCATTTCGATCTTCCGTATCGAAACTTTCTTCATTGTTTTCCAAGTCGTCGAAGCCGTGTAGGTCAATAGTTTCTAGCTGTGATGTTGGTCCTGCACTGAACCATTCTGGTTCTTCATAAATATGATATGAGTTTGCCCGCTTACCACGAGAACTTGACTCCTTATTAGATACTCGTCGATTACTTGCGCCTTGCCGATCTACTGACCTTTTTGTGTCATATTGAAAACGACGGTCTGAGTGTTCAAGAACGCGATCGATTAATCTTCCACTGAATGTGCGATTGCGATGTTGGTTTTGATTGTACTGACTAGCACCGCATGCTCCTCCACTTCCATTTAGTGACATGTCCTTTTCGATCTCACTGTTGGGCTCTTTGGCTTTAAGGCTTTTGTATTCCCAATTGTCACTTCTAGGTAGTAACCGACCACTACCGATACGTCTTTCCTGGCGGGATGCTGAAAGTGTTGGCGAAGATGATAAACATTGCTCGTGATCCGACTGTACATAATTTAGACGTGTTTCAGAATTATCCTGCTCGTTGCTCTTTCTAGTAGGGGAAATAGATGCTTTTCCCTTGCTTTCCTTTCTTTGAGATGCCCCTATGCCATCATCGCAAATACTAACAGCTGCCTCGTTGTTTTCTGCACTGTTGCTTCCGGTCGCCGCAACGAAACGCTTCTTTGCAAATGCTGGCATTAAGTGCGAGGATGAAATGCTGCGATGATCAAGGATTGATGACTTAAAGGACTGTCCATGTGTCGACGCATCTTTCTCCTTATCTTCCCCGCATAGTTGAAGGGAATCAGAGGGTGCAAAACGCTGATAATAACTATTCGCCCGCTCTCGATTTCTCATAGCACGACGTGAACTTATTGAGCCGCTACTGGAACAATTTAGACTCGAATTATCTGTCTCCGGAGAAAGGCGGTTCTTATTTTGATTTAGATAATTGTTGGTCACACTTAGTGAAACAGCATTTAAATCCCTTTTCCAAAAAGACAGTGTCTGTAATTCAGTTCGATTTGTACATGGTGGGCGCTGTCGACTTTTACTTTCGTATCGTAATGCCAAAAGATCCGCTCTCGAGTATCTAAGGTAAACAATTTTTTTATAAATAAGAATTTCAATATCGCAATTGTCATAGTTACAATTCTTATTCTTATTTCCTGGCAAATTGATTTTTTAAAATCTTGTTTATTCAAATATATGTATTCAAATTTAACTGGGTATATTTAAATTGTTGCCAAGCTACCCACACGTACCTGGCATTATGTGGCGTCGTATCCATTTCTGTACTGTTTGGCTTAGGTTTGGAGTTTTAAGCTTCTTGAATTATGTTCCGAACTTAGTAGTTACCGTAATTTTCCAAAACAATTATATAAAAATTCTCCCCTGAAGGAAAAGAAACTAAATTCCTGTTTCTATTTAATATAAAAATTTTTTGTATATACCACTTATGCAAACACATACATACGAATATTTATATATATATATATATATATAGATATATATTACAAATTTGTGTGTATATACATATATATCATTCGGTTTTTGTTAAGTTGTTTTTTTTAATTTCAATACTTATAAGTAGACAAATTTATTGTTGGCGTTTTCCAATAATTTTATTTTTCTGAAAATCACGTCAAATTAGGAGTGGGATATGATTGACAGTAAAATGAATCGGGTCTTATCGAAATGATTACGTTGAATATAATTAACATCGGAAATGGTACTATAGGAATGGAACACAACCCTAAGCGTAAAATAATTTACATAAGGTCAGTACCAATCTAAAACCATCTCCTTGTTAGGGATAAGTGAAATATCTTAATAAAATTTAAGCATAAACAATATACATAATAAAAACTATTATTCGACAATGGTAGATCACATACATATATTTCATATCAGCATGTAAATGGCACACTTTCAGCACAGCCCTATACATTATATACAATGTGGCCCATGTAGCGTTTGCTTATTGGCATATTTTGACTTTGACATTTCCAATGTCATTGTCAATGTGTCAGATATTTAGTAGAAGGTTTGCGGTTTACGAAAACGTTAAATTTACGCTCGAAAAAAATTTGGAAGTATTGAAATCTTTCTTTCAAAGTGAAGAGCCTTTAACCGAAACTGCAAGAAAATTGAGGTCAAAATTCGGAAAAACAAGCGCCTTCCAGCGTGTGCGTGAGACTAGATCGTTGATGGATAAAACAACACGTTTACGTGTTCGTCCAGTTCGGTCGGTTGAAAATATTGCTGCGGTGGCCGAAAGTGTGACAATCCGTCGATTTTAACCAAATACCTCCGTCTAATGCCATAAAGACAGCCGAGGCAGCCATATAATCGAAGTGGTGTTTCATACATAAACCACAACGTTGAGGCTATACAATAAAAAAAATTAATATACACGTTTTTTTTTATAGCGATTTTACAACGCAAATCTTTCTCGGGCAACAAAAAATTAGGGGCACTCATTCAGAGAAATTGGAATAAAAATGGAATATTGTCGATGAGCCATCGCGATTGTCTAAAAACTATCGATGGGTCAGACCGGTCCGTTACACGTTTTTTTTATAGCGATTTAAAAACGCAAACCTTCGATAGCAACAAAAAATTAGGGGCACTCATTCAGAGAAATTGGAATAAAAATGGAATATTGTCGATGAGCCATCGCGATTGTCTAAAAACTATCGATGGGTCAGACCGGTCCGTTACACGTTTTTTTTTATAGCGATTTAAAAACGCAAATCTTTCGTGGGCAACCAAAAATTAGGGGCACTCATTCAGAGAAATCGGAATAAAAATGGAATATTGTCAATGAGCCATCGCGATTCTCTAAAAACTATCGATGGGTCAGACCGGACCGCGATTATGTAGACGTTTATATTTACATATTTATTTATGAGCCTATTTATGTCGAAAGTTCAAAAGGTTCAAATCAGAAATGGTTACATTGCTTTCTGTTGAAATTAAATTTAGCTTGAACATATTTTATGAAATTGTAGCTTTAATTTATATTTACCTAAAATTTAAGTATTTTATAAGAAAGATAATTGGACGCACCGGATGTATTTAACACTGAAAAGACTAGTGTTTGGAGGAGTAGATTTAAAAATGCATTAAACTTGTTAATAAAGTTTTCAATGATTGTATCGATCAATCGAACTATTGTTTTATGATTTCACTAACTTCGGGCTCAATGAAAAAAGCTGCATTAATCACATTTAAAATGTTTATGTTCTTTTATTACACTCTCCTATCTAATTATTTTTAGAGATGCTTAATAAACTTTATGTCTGGGCATGACCAGATTATTATTATTGTGATTAAAGGTAAAGTTGTTTGTGATACCCAATTATAAACACGTTAGAATTGTCGTTTATAATCTATTTATTACAAAACTAACTTTTCCTCATATCTTTACTAATTCACTCGGATCTATCCCTGTGCTTTGAACCGTACATCAGACGGTTGCGTCCCTCAGTTGGTTGGGCGGGGGTTGGGCAGTTGCACGTCAAGCAACGGGAGTCGCGCGTATATTGTATATTCTTAAGACGCCAGCTCATCTTATGGTGAACCATTATCCGGTATTTTCATGCAGCCTCGCCCACTATAACGCAGTAACAAGCTGCTTGAATTGAAAATTTTGCATTGCAGTATTCTATATTTTAAGCCGATTTATATTTTTTGTGTAGTCATAAATGGTTTTATTAATTTCTATTTTTAAGTCTTCTTAAAACTCTTAAAATAAACTTGATTAAATGAAGCAAATTGTTAATTTTTACGTCTAAATATTTTAAGATTATTTTAATTACTTTTCAGGCACGGATAAAATAATACTCTAAACCATTGAGCATTAGCGTAAATGTTTTTATACGTCATTTTTTTTTATTTTTTTAAAGTTACTTCAAATTTGCACAATTTTCATTTACGGATGTTTCGTAACAACATACTGATCCAATGCTGCCGACTGGGCAGCTCCATTTATGTGATTCCGTCACAGAATTAGGATTGAAATTCGCCTGCCGAGATTGCGGACAAAAAGAATGCAAGTGCGACTTAAAAAACACTGGAAAGGCAACTCGCTGCTGTATTTGCAAGCTGGATGATATTTCTTTGGTGGCTGAAGTGTTCGACAGCGATTTATCATTTACTAATCTGGAAAGACTTCGATCGTGCTGTATTTTATCTGTTTTTCGGCGAGCTATAATTTTTAAATGCCCATTAAATCTTTTTGCGTTCTGAAACGAAAGAAAATATATTCTTTTTTAATTTATAATGCAGGATGTTCTGTTAAAGTAATACTTAGGTGTTTTCTTAGTTAAAACAGTGGATTTTATCTAATTGTTAGGGGTGTGATTTAAGAAACAAAGTATACATGCTAATCTGAAAAACTTCTGCTGCGCGAATGCCTTTGCATAAAATTTTAAGCAATATTACGAAAACGGTACTTAATACTTGTGATGAAGATCAGTTAGTTATATTTGTAAAGTTTTTAAAGTCAAGTAGAAGTTCGTTCAGATTTCTTAGTAAATTAGTTTTAATACCTCTGATAGTTTAACTTCTTTATCTAAAATTGATTTTGAATTTAAAGATGAACCGGAAATTTGTATCTTCTCAGTTTGGAAAATTGATAGAGAGTGACTTGTATTTTCAATTGAGCATCGATTTGGATTTAACTCTGTTTGATCTTCAGCATCTGTTGTTATGACATCTACATCGACGTCGCCCTCTACATCAATATTTGTACTTGTAGATGGAGAAAGGCTAGTACTTTCGCTTTCAGATACAATGTCGGCAGGTGTATGGGAAACGTGAATTTGTTGACTTATGAACTTTCCCTCGTCTTCCGTTGTCTCGATATCCACCAGTTCGTCATCATTATCGCTAACAGATGGCTTTTCTGAAAAAAGGTTTTTATTAATAAGAATTGGCTTAACGGAAATTAAAATATTTTATTTACTCTCCATATTAGATTGAACTTTCTCTATAATTGGCGAAAATGTCTCATGATCTATGATATGGTGCGAAGAACCCGAAATACTATTATGGGTTAAGACCGTTGTGGTTCTCGTAGTTTGCTTTGGGTGGATATATTCGGTCCGTTTTGAATCACTGGATCTTGTGTATAAAGAGGTTGACACAATTGCTGTCGAAGCGACGACTGGTTTAAAAGCAGAGCAGTTAAGAATTGATGGGATATTGTAATCGGAAATGCTTATCCCGCTGCTCGCAACTCCAGAGAGATTATGGTTTTTAATAATTATAGATGAGTGTGAATCGTTTTTTATATTAAAAGATGAATTATCCGTAAGACGAACTGTATTTTCATTCGGTAACGGAATATTACCGTCGGGCCTAACCCATGAACGTTGGCAGGATTCCAAGTCAAGACTTGGTTCGCTGGGTTCACTGGTACTGAATTTTTTACAATACTGTTGCTGATAGTGTTGGTCCTTTTGCTGCCACATGTAGTCCACTACAAAGTTTCTAGAGATTGGCATTAGGGAAATGTCCCGTTCGCTTCGAAGGGATTGCATAGGTGATAGGACGGCAGATCCATGCAAATTGAAAGGTACGCCAACAGTTGCAGCTGCAACCGCCGTAACTCCAACCACAGCGGCTGCAGCTACAGAGCTATAATTGTATTGGCTATCAATCTGTCGTTGTGGGAGTTGAGACTCTGAATCCCCGCCGCCTTCCTTGGTATCTCTATCAAAATTCGTTGGGGAACTACATGAGCTGTTTACAACACCCGTTTTAGTAGTCACCGAAGGCGTTGGCGAATCCAGGCTTCGATTACTAACGGTGCTGCTAACAATACGCTTTCTTGTGCCGCCATTAAACATAGCTTTTACATCTTCCCATTCGTGAATTATTTTTTCATCACACGGATTTCCACTTAAAGTCATGTGCCTTCGCCAAGAGTTGAAGTTCGCCGCATCGGGCTGTACATACCTGTCATTGGTCGTTATCCGATGTGAATGGAAAATAAATTTATTGGGCGAAAAAAACATTCCGCAATATGAACATTTTATACATTTTGCCCTGGATGAGTTGTAACGAGAAGGTAGGAAAGATCCACGGCAGCCCCAAGCACATTTGTGCTGAACGTTAAATGCAAAGTCGTCAGGTAGTCTAGGCGGAGTATTGTCACCCAAAAAACTCTTGCATAATCTTTCCGCTTCCCTTCGTGTTATCATTCCACATCGTCGTGAACTTACTGGCATAGCACCAGCTCTTCTTAATATCTCCAATTGTACGGGAGTACATTGTACACAAGTAATGCCAAGCGCAACTCTTCTGTTATGTATCTCATTATAGCTGAATTGCTTTAACAAAGTATTTGAGATTTGGGCCAAGCAGAGGCGCTCCTGGCCTTCGATAAACAAGGAAACAATTGGTACTCCGTAAAGAGAAACGGAGCTTACCTAAAATATTAAAAATATATTAAACTTTCGATAAACAAGGTCACAATCGGTACTCCGTAAAGAAAAATTGATCTGAGCTAAATTATTAATACTTAATTACATCAAGAACTAAGAAAAATTACTAAATAAAACCATAATTGCAATAATTATAGAATTTTGTTATATTTATAGATTTTGTTATATTTTTATGATTTTGTTGGAGCAGCATTATGTAAGGCCAAATTTTTTATAACCGTCATTCGTAGGGTAAAAAGCACAAAGGCAAATTCAACGACAGTGAGATTATTTAATTTTTTAATTTGTTTTGATCGGGTTTTCCGATCTTTTCTGACTATTTTGGCAAAATAGACTTACAAAAGTATCTTAATGAAATCGTCACAGCAGAGCAAAAGCACTCTATTATTATTTTTATAACGAATTGTATAAACTTTTGAGCTTGAAAATGATTTTAAAATGTTTTTTTTATTAATCAATTAATTTAGTGTCAGTATGTATCAAACACCCTAGTCATTTATTTTCTTCGCCGGGCCTGCGCCAACAATACTGTTTCAATCTACCACCAAAAAAAAAAAAGCACTCTATTATTATTTTTATAACGAATTGTATAAACTTTTGAGCTTGAAAATGATTTTAAAATGTTTTTTTTATTAATCAATTAATTTTGTGTCAGTATGTATCAAACACCCTAGCCATTTATTTTCTTCGCCGGGCCTGCGCCAACAATACTGTTTCAATCTACCACCAAAAAAACCACCCAAAGATACAAAACTGAGTGCGTGCCTTTATTTTATTGTACTTTTTAGAATAGTTTTTTTTAAATAGGTTTTTATTTTATTTACCTGTTTGTGACATAGTCATTGGTTTCTTTTAAGTTATAGGCGTTCATATATGAATATGTAAAATGTGAAATCATAAAATTAATATAATTAAATTCCTATTCCAAAAAATATAAAATAATTTGTCATAATTTATATTATGTCACATAAATAAACTAATTTTTATTTTTGCTACAAAGAAGTATGGCACCCTAGCCATTTATTTTCTTCGCCGGGCCTGCGCCAACAATACTGTTTCAATCTACCACCAAAAAAACCACCCAAAGATACAAAACTGAGTGCGTGCCTTTATTTTATTGTACTTTTTAGAATAGTTTTTTTTAAATAGGTTTTTATTTTATTTACCTGTTTGTGACATAGTCATTGGTTTCTTTTAAGTTATAGGCGTTCATATATGAATATGTAAAATGTGAAATCATAAAATTAATATAATTAAATTCCTATTCCAAAAAATATAAAATAATTTGTCATAATTTATATTATGTCACATAAATAAACTAATTTTTATTTTTGCTACAAAGAAGTATTTGCCTGTGTGGTAAAAATAGTTCAAAGTAGTAGACTCTAGACATTCAGTTGATTTCTTTTAAAACAAACAACTAAAAACTCCAAGCACGTAGGAAATTATTCCTCAGGGATAGATTTCTTGCATTTTAACCTACACGAAACCCTTACAACTGTCATTTTCCTCTTAAACGCATTAACTCGAATATATGGGCATACAGAAAACAGGAATTTCTAATGTAAAAAAGAATGAACTAAATAAACACTCGTTACTTGAAATTGGATAAGGCTAAATAAAATTACTTTTTGTTTTTATTGCCTAATAACTTCCACGCAAAATGCGTCAATGTTCATGAAAAGTTAAGAAATCTCAATGGGTCTATTTCATTGACACTTTCCTCACAAAAAGTATCAATTAAAAACAAGAGGAATCGCTGTAGTCGAGTGCCTCGACTATAAGATACCCGTTACTGTCTTACACAATTTTAAATTATTCATTTTGCAAGTGGAAATTCCCCAAGCGCCACCTATTGTCGGAGAAAGCCTGTTGAGTAACTGATAGTGACGTCACTACCCATGTGAGGCCTTATAACCTAAATTTCTTCAAAAGTAGCGAAATAATGTTCCGTTTTAAAAAATCTTTGATAAATCGATAGATATTAACAGAAATAAGCTATACAAGTTCAAACGAAGGCATTCATAATATTATTATAGACGCCACAGTTTTCCGCGGTTTGTGGGCGTTAGAATGGGCGTGGCAGGATGAAAACTCGTGAGAAGTTGCAGTGGCATCTCTAAAATACATATTCCTAAGGCCAACTTTCTAGCTTTTTTAGTTTCCGGAATTTTTGATTTTTCGGTTTTTGTGGGCGTTAGGGTGGGCGTGGCTAGATGGAAAAAAACAATTCTTTTTTGGGGCATCATAAAAACCTACATGTTGAATCCGAACTTTCTATCACTTATAGTTACCGAGATATCAGGTTTTCTTGAAAATGCGAAAACCGTTTTTATTTTTTACTTATTTCTGTTATTATCTATCGATTTGCCAAAGGTTTTTTTAATCGGAACAATATTTCGCTATTTATAAAGAAATTAAGGTTACAAGGCCTCACATGGACAGTGACGTCACTATCGGTTACTTAACATGCTTTCTCTGACAATAGGTGGCGCCTTGTGAATTTCCACTAGCAAAATAAATATTTTAAAATTGTGTAAAACAGTAACGGGTATCTTATAGTCGACAAACTATCTATCTATATCTATGTAAATACGTAATTACATTCTTGTTAAAACTTCAAAAAAAATGTTGGTTTAAAAAACTATAAAAACCAAACAAACTTTTAACATTAACATTAAAGGCCAAATAGTATTTTGGGGGTAATAAATAACTTGAGATCCACCAGCTTCAGACAATTTCGCTCCCAGTTTTTATTACAGTTCTTAGGAATACAGCGATCTTATATACTTCATAGTGGAAATTATACTTGTATCTGTTTAGTAACTTTAAACAAATAAGATGGGGAAAACAGACTAAAAGAAAACTGTCTAAAAAATGTTCGTTCGGCACGCTGGATTAGATAAGAGGACGGAATCAGAAATGTTCTTTTACATCTTATAGATGTGGTAGAAGACATGAAAATACACAATAATAAAATACGTACGTGATTTGACCTTTGAGCCATTTGACTGTTTTCCATTCCATTAACAGATGCCACTAGTACGGCAGTCATTTAAACATTTTTGAACTAAAACCATTTAAGCAAACCGCTGAAAATATTTTTATAAATATAAAATCATTTTTCGTCACAAAGTTTGAAATGTAGTATGTTAGAGGTAAACTTGATTTTTACCTTCTTAGAAAGTAGAATTCTGATTTACTTTATATAAATACATAAATACATAAATCTTGGAGATCCTTTTGTTTCATAATTATTAATTTGTCTTATTCGAAATCATTTAAACATTTAACTATTATTATTAAATACATGTTATTTTCTATACGTTAAAAATTATGCAACAGTTAAAAGGACTATTTCCAACCTATAGAATGGTTTTAGAAACATTAGTCGGCTAACTTACTTCTTCTTTTTTTTTTTTATTAAATGGATAGGCATTTAAAAAAGGATTTGAAATAAATATACGGTAATAATTTTAAATAATAAAAAGATTTACGATTCCAATGTTGGGTTTTAATATGAGTACTATCTTTTTATAGCCGTTACGCGTATAGTAAAATGGTATATTCAATTCGTTGAAAAGTATGTACCAGGTAGAAAGAAGCGTTTCCGACCCTAAAAAGTATATAAATTCTTGATTAGTATCAATAGCGAAGTTGATTAAGCCATGTTCGTCTGTTCATCCCTCCGTCCGTCCGTCCGTCCTTCCGTCCGTCCGTCCGACTGTCTTTGTGAACGCTGAGATCTCAGGATCTAGAAGAAGTACAAAGTTGAGACTAAGCAGACAGATTCTTCAGGTCCCTATGCACCGCCAGTTTATAACAGCATCCTGCCCACTCTATTCCAGCGAATCTTAAGGTGGCATCATTGTCAGACCACACCCACTCTTACGACCACCAAGCTCGAAAGAAGGGTTTCGCTTTTTGTAGAAAAGCTGATATCTCGGTAACTATAAGTGATAAGTGATAAAAATGCGAAAATATCGTGGACTATAAAAGCTAAAAAGTTTTCATCCGGCCACGTCCACTCTAACGTACACAAACCGCGGGAAACTGTGGTGTCGATAATAATATTATGAATGTCTTCGTTTGACCTTTTACAACTTTTTTTGTCAATATCTATCGATTTACTAAAGATTTTTTAAATGGGAACATTATTTCGCTATTTATGAAAAATGTATGTTATAAGACCTCACATGAAACTATATAGCGTTTCTTGTTAAAAATAATTTTTGGGTTAAATAAGTTGCCAATTTAAATAAATTCCTTGCTGATGGGTTACACAACGAAAATGGCAAATACTACTTTGAAACAATAATTCATTTCAGTATACAGCATTTTATTGAATTTTCAAGAAGATTTTTTTACTTAAATTTGGTAATATTTGATTTACTAACCAGAACTTGCATTTACTTAAACTTAAATCGTCAAATTATTAAATCATATTTTTTGCCACCCAAACCTATTGCGCCCTGTATAAAAGTGGTATTTCCAAAAAATGATTTATATTAACTTTTACTGCCAATTTATTCCATACAAATTGAAATCAGACTTTCGCTCTTTTCTTACGTGAAAACTCCCTTATTCAATTATAGAATGCGTGTGAATAGCATAATTGAAAAGGAGCAGGACCCTAGAGACCATTTCGTTGGAGATAATAAGGTTAGCAAAAAAGTTATAAAGTACAGATTGTTAGGCTTAATGCCTTTGTTACTGCATGCCCTCGCTAAAGTTGCAAACGGAAAGCGAAACAAATGATTACGGTTTCCTTAACTTGTGGGGGTGCCGAGGGTTGAACAAATTACAAACCAGTGAGGTAAATAATGAGAAAATTATGTTAGTATTTAGAAAAACAGCAGATTGTTAACAATCTGGCAGATGTACTCATATATATGTACGTTAGACTGCATGAGCATGCCTGAGGTTATCGCGTTATATTATGTATGTATATGTGTTGTATGGAAAGCAAACCATTAAGCTGGTTGTTATATATAATATAAAATATATTATATATTTATATATTTGAATATAATATATATAATATATAATATATTATATATTATATATATATATATAGAATGGCTAAATAGAATCGGCTATTGACCATGACTAAGAGTATATATAATTCATTCGATCTATTCTATTACATGTATCATGTTTCCAAACAATACTAATTTTTATTGTTATATTAATATCTTGAATTCAAAGTGCTACTCAGATTAAAACAAATTAGCCCATCGCAAATTCGCACAAAATAACAAAATGGACAAGCAAGATATACCTGTCGCTTAAGAAATTTCACAACATAAATAGCAAAGCGCATTTGCAACAAATTCAATTATCCCTAATTAATTTGAGTGGTTTGTTTAAACAAGGAGTGCCTCAAACGTTCCTCTATAGCTTGTACAGGTTTCATATTTCAAATTGAAAGAGTGTTTTCATACAGTCATTTAAATGTACATACGAAGACCTATTAAAGTCAAAAACGATTACGTTTCTGGATTCACGGGGGTTGAATTCATGAGCATATGCCTTTTGACGAAATGCAGATACTAGGGTAGATAAAAAATAGACTAAAATACCCACTGATGAGTTGGCAATAATTCGCTTGAGTGGCTACTGTCAACAGGCAAATAATAGGTGTTCTATTTGAGGGCGGAAAAACTTTGTTATACAGCTTGTCGCTGCTGGTGCTGGGCAAGTGATGGTCTTTTGTTTACACATATAACATCATGTATATTTAATTGGGTTAAATTGCTTGACGATTAACATTTGGAAATGAAATGTGCGGATAATTGAGTTTACCTTGTCTAATTATTTTTGAGGCTAAAAGCATGGTATCCGTGGAAACAAAAGTGATACAAAATCATTAAGTCGTGATATTACAATTACAACTATGTTTCTACGTAAACCAAGAGATTTAAAAAAATTTTTTAAAAAACTATTATTTTTATATTTATTTCGTGATAAATATGTATCAGGTAGAAGGAAGCGACCCTATAAGTGTATATATTCTTGATCAGGATCAATAGCCAAGTCAAACTATAAGAGATACAAAGATTAATCATGCAGATTATTTGCTCCCTACACATCGTAAGTTTATTTCAGCATCCTGCCACGTCCACTCTAATTCCTACAAATCACGAAAAAATAAAATAGCCTAAATCTCATGAACTAGTAGAGCTACAAAGTTGGGATAAAGCATGTATAATCTTGACTTGGCAGCGCATCTTAAGGTGGTACCGTTATCCGGTACGCCCACTGTTACGCCCACCGAGCTTGGTGAAGACGGTATTCACTTTTTGTAGAAACGCTGAGATCTTTGTAACTTTAATTGTTTGAAAGTTGGGATTAAGTGTGTAGTTTCTAATGACGCCTCCAATGCCTATTATTTTTTCACACAAACCTCGCTCGGTAACTATAATTATTAGTTTTCCCCATCGGCCACGTTCACTGTAAACCACAAACAACTCAGAAACCCGAAAATCTTGGGACGTTAGGCTTAAGCATTAATATTCTATAGAAGTTTTTTCATTAGGCCACGCCCACTAACCGAGGCGAACTATGGAGACCATAATATTATTGATTTACATTTATAGTTAACATCTAGCGAGTTACCAAAGATTTTTCAAATAAGAACATTATTTTTTTATACCCGTTTCTCGCAGAGTAAAAATGTATACTAGACTCGTTGAAAAGTATGTAACAGGTAGAAGGAACCGTTTCCGAGCTTATAAAGTATATATACTATTGATCAGTCCGTCCGTCTGTTCATATAAACGCTGAGATCTCAGGAACTATAAGAGATACAAAGATGAGATCAAGCGTGAAGATTCTTCATGTCTCTACGCAGGGCAAGTTTTTTTTAGCATCCTCCCACGCCCACAAATTATGGAAAACTAAATGAAATTAAGTATGCATAAACTTGAGATAGCAGCGCATCTTATGGTGGTACCATTATTTCATCATTCACACCCACTTTTACGCTCACCAATCTCGAAAGACGGTTTTCGCTTTTTGTAGAAAAGCTGATATCTCGGTAACTATAAATGATATAATGTTCGGATAAAGCATGTAGGTTTTTATGATGCCCCAAATGCGAATTGTTTTTTGCCACCTAGCCGGAAAACCAACAATGAAAAAATCTCGGGAACTATAAGAGCAAAAAAGTTGTGTCACTATCAGTTACTCAACATGCTTGCTCTGACTATAGGTGGCGAATTGTGAATTTCTACTTTTGCTTTTTCTGACAAAAGTTGGAGCTTTGTCAATATCGCAAGCAAAATGAAATTTATAATATTGGTTAAAACAGTAAGGGGTATCTTATAGTCGAGGCACTTAACTATAGCGTTTCTTCTTGTTTTAATATACATGTTTTTAACCTAATCATTACAGAAATGTATGGAACATGTTTAATTCTGGTGTTAAATACATAAATAGAGGGTTAAGATGGTAATAGATGCATAGTATGCTTTAAAGCCCTGCTTGTTCGCGCTGCAAAATCACTAATAGAATACTCATTTTTAAACTCAATTTTCTAACTCGTGGAGTCCCCGGCATTTAAACATTTATTCGAATTGACATGACAAGATCAACATTATAACACTCCAAAACGCGAAAACTTTAAACCTATAAACGGAAACTATAAGTGATAGAAAGGACTAGCAAAATAAATTTGGCGTCCAGGCTTATGTTTTAATTTGTCGTTATAAAATATGTTTTGTTAACCGTCGTAGCACATAAGGCCTCACACCAGCAGTGACGTTATAGCCTGTAAAAAGTAATGATTAATACAATAGAGGGTATCTGATAGTCGCGACACTCGGTATAGCGATTCTTCTTTTTATACCCGTTACTCATAGAGTAAAATGGTATACTTAATTTTTTGTATGTAACAGGTATAAGGAAGCATTTCCGACCCTAGATAGTATATATTCTTGATCAGTATCAATAGCGAAGTCGATTGAGCCATGTCCTTCTGTCCGCCCGTCTGTTCGTACGTCCGTCCGTCCGTATGAACGCTGAGATCTCAGGAACCATAAGAGATATAAAGTTGAGATTAAGCAGAAAGATTCTTGAGGTCCCTTCGCAGCGCAAGTTTATTTCAGCATTCTGCCACGCCCATTTAAACGCCCACAAACAGGAAAACTGTAGCGTCCATAATATTATAATGAATGTCTTCGAATGACCTTGTATAACGTAATTTTGTCAATATATTTCGATTTACCAAAATGTAGGATATAAGGTCCCACATGGGCAGTGACGTCACTATCAGTTACTCAACATCCTTTCTTCGACAATAGGTGGCGCTTTAGGAATGTTCAATGGCAAAATTAATATTTTAAAATTGTCTAAAACAGTAACGGGTATCTTATAGTCGCGGCACTCGGCTATAGCGGTTCTTGATGTTTAAGTAGTGCTCTGCCAAGGTAGTATTCCCAAAATGTAAAATTCAAAAGCTAGTTATATCTAAGACTAAGGCTTAATATAAATAATTTTGACATTCGTTGCAGTCCTAGCACCGTTTTTAAATGGACTTGGGTTCACTTACCGATGACAGTTCAAAATTTGGTTTTCGCATTTTTTAATCAATTAGCAACTTTTTATACCTTTTTAATGTTTTAAATTTGTAATGGGTTTCAAATTACAACTGTAAAGATTTCAAACTTCAGCCGAAAATAAATATTTTTCATCACAACACTTATTTGAGTGTACCTTGATTGTAAAATATTAGGTTAATTAACACTGTGTTGTTCTGTTATAAGGAAGCAACCACTCAGAAGTTCTTTTAAAAATTTAACAGATGCCCGTTTTTATCTGAACACTAGAATGTCTCGTTACAGAAAATATACGAATATTGCATATGAAACACCGTTTTCGTTGATAGTGACATCGGCAAAGCTTACGCAGGAGTGAGAAAACGAACTGTGGACAACTGTAAAATCCTGAAATCCCGAAATACACTTGGCTGTGTTTCCACCAATAAGGGAACGAAAACAAAGGAAACACCACAAAAAAAGAAATCCATACATACACATATATATATTATGGAGAAAACAAACCAATAAGATGGATCGTCCTCAATTTCAATGGGCGTTTCCAAAATTACACGCATGCGCAAATAAAATTTTGTTAAATTCACCCTGTGTTTTTACGGGTATATAGCGCAATTCTAAATATTTGAACTGTTATAAGTCGCTTTCAATTTAATTAACTCTGTCCAAAAAATTGAGTTATGATAATAACTAAATATTATTTGTCATGCCATATAATATCATTTTCATACTTCACTTTAATAAAAAATATTTTAACCTTCAAATGTCTCTATTAATTTAATGAACTTTACCGACGAAATGCAGTTTTAATAATTACATTTTGACTTAATATTAATCATATTTGGTACTTAAACAGTTAAATGTCGTTTTTAGTTTAGCTAAGTTTATTAAATTTATATCAAATCATTAATAATATATATATAGTAATAATAATAATATATAATAATAATATATAATAATATATTATATAATAATATAATATAATATATATTATAATAATATATTATAATATCTTAAGGCGTGTCAGCCGCCAAAAAATAACTATGTATATATATACATATATCCACGTAACGTATTAAAGTAGATTCAAATTCCTGTGGAAAAGGAAAGTTATGATATCACTGAATTCTTAAAAAAACACTACAGTGTTTTTCGTGCTTTAAAAACTCAAGCGATAAAAGATGTATCATATCGATCATATACCCCTGAATTGTATTGCTTTAAAAAACAACAAAACTTTAGCGAGTATAAGAAATGGACGGAACCGGATGCTGAGCTGTGCTCCTTAAGCTTTGCTGTCATTTCTAAAATCTACATGTGTAGTTTCCAAGATCTCCACGTTTTTATCCCCAACTTTCTATCTAAGCAACCATGAGCCTCGGTGGCTTCTATTGAACATGCATGTTTAAATTAAACTTCCAGCTTTTATAGTTCTCGAAATCGCATCGGTTTCAAGTGCAAACTCTGGGTGTTCAAACCCATTTATCTATCACTTATAGTTCCTAAGATCTATATAATTTGTAGGTTCGAAAGTATTTATACACTTTTACTCAACGAGCAATGGAAACGACTAATTACAAATAGATTACTCTGCTGTTTAAATATTTATTTTGAAATAAGCAGAAAATGCTAAGAGTAATTAGTATTTCATAGGTACTCGAATATACCGTTCCTTTTTGTTTTAAATGGTAGACAACCTTTTAGTAAAATGGAGTCTATCACGCTAACGCTAACCACCACCCCCATAGTATGTATGTTCTTGATCCTGTCCATCCGTGTGAACTTCAAGATCTTTGGGTCTTTGAGAGCTAGAAAGGCGTAGCGCGTAGCGCATAGCAGAAAACGTAAGCTGTAATTTAACTGAAGCGCAATTCTCACCAGGCGCATTCTGGGTCTCCAAACCTTAGTCCCGAAACAAGTTCTAAAGTTATTATCTGATTTAATAAATTAAATGGTAGAAAAATTAACTTTTAAGAAGAATAATATTGCGGCTAAACCGTCAAGATTTGTGAGTGTTATACTAGGCGTGTCTGGATCGACACAACTTATGATCCTATCAAATATATATATATAATATATATAGTTTATGGTGTCGGACCGCTTCAATTTACCTGTAATATACTTTTAATAGAAAATGTCAATAAAAATATATATATTTTACAACATTTTAAATTTATATTTTATTGAAAACTTAATTTATATAAAAAAATTTGTCTGAAAATGCTTTATGATGCTTTCTTCGGATATAAGGTATACACAAGTAGTACTTTTAATGTAAAAATGTATGCGCAAATATACGTGTAATGGTGTGTTTGGTAGATTTATTTCTTAACCAGTAAAGCAGTGCTAAAACTAGATTTTATATATCTCAATGTAGTCCTGAATTGAAAGTACGACAGTTGAAAACGCCAAACGTGCATGCTACGAGAATTTTTACTAGCGACACCTTTTGTCGGAAATAAACACGTGTCCGAATGATGAAATTATCCTTACAGAGGCATCACTCTTCATATGAGCTTAATCCTAACGTTCTAGCGCTAAGTGTTGAACGTGGCCGGACGATGCCAGGCATCTCAAGAATTTGCATACTCTATTTAATAATTAATTTATAATAGTTTCAATCTCTTATAGTTCCTGAGATATCCGCGTTCACACCCGCAGACGTACATATATGGCTAAATCGAATTGTCTATGACTCCTGATACAGGACATAAATATATAATATGGTCGAAAAAGATTTCTTTTACCTGTTATTGTTAGTTTATCCCAGTTTAAGCCTTTTGAGGCAAGCAAAATTTGTTTTATCTCCCGTTTGCTCTGGCAAGGGAAGTGTGATGTAACTTACTTTTATACTCGATCTATTCAATTGAAATAATTATTGTAAAACCTTTCCGTTAGGTGGAACGTAAAAATAAAAATTGGGGTTAATTAACAAAAGTGAAAAAACAACCGATTCTTGACTACAACCTTTTCGTAAGGTCTGTGAACTTGTGAACTTAGTTTACCTAAGAACAATAACGGTTGGGTGGCGCCGCCGTTGGCTTGTGAAAATATAAGCTATACAAAATTGTAGTTTACATTTACATCTACATATAAATTATACATGCATCTGAATTGCTTGTTATATCCAGTGTTGCCAGTTTAGCTTATTATAAGCTAGTTCTAGCATATTTTAAACTGGAAAAGCTTGAAAACTCCCGATCTAGCTTATAGCTTGAAATATAACTTGTTTTAAAATTCATCTAAATGCGTTGTTTCGTATGAAAAATATGCTTTATGACATGAAAATATCGGAGGTTTTTCTTTTATTGCCGATGCTTATGTGGGTTTCATATGATCGTGAATATATTTCTATTCGATAGTGCCATCGAAGATCGATATGTTGGCTAAAGTGTTGCCAGCAATCACTTGGAGTTGTGAATTTTAATAAAGCGAGTGGTAAAATGCCGAAAGTCCAATATAAACAAATTTTTCGCGATGCTTGGCTCCAAAGTAGTGAGTTCAAGGCGTAGTTACGGAAACTTCCAGGAGATGATACAAGAGCTTATTGCTCCTATTGTAAGTCAACAAATTCAGCAAAAATCTTTGAAACAAGGCAGCAAGCGGCAACAAAGAAGCACGTGCTAGAATGAGCTCAATTGCACAATCTCAGATAATAAATTGCAAAATAAACTGCAACATGTTGCAATGGAAATTTAAGGACTTAATCATAAAAATAGCCCCCAATGACTATTGCCACCCATATTTGGGTGTAGCTTGTTTTTTTAGCGTATTTTTTTAAATTTTAGCTTATTCTAGCTTATTTTTTTCACAAATGTAGCTTATACGTGCGCTCATCACCTGGCAACACTGGTTATATCCGTTATTCGATATGTATTACATTTACATAAAAAATATACATGCCCCTTTGCTTGTGATACCCGTTGTTGATAAAGTAAAAAGGTATATTGTATTCGTTGAAAAGTAAGTAAAAGGCAGAAGGCCGTTTCCGACGCTATTAAGGTTATTTAACAATGGTCAAAATTTAATCGGTCCTAAACCTTGGTTTACAACCTTTCCGCAAGGCAAAACTTAAAGCTTAAATTAGTAGACCAAAAAAGAAAAACGGTGGCGCCACCCTTTTATAGATGGCTTGTGAAGATATAAATTATACAAAAATGTAGTTTACATTTACATTTACATAAAAATTATACATGCATCTGATTTGGTTGTAATACCCATTACTGGTAGAGTAAAATGCTGGATGTATTCGTTGAAAAGCATGTAACAGGTTGAGATCTCAGGAACTATAAGATATAAAAAGTTGGGATTAAGGATGTATAATCTTGAAATGGCATGTTAAGGTCATTATCCGGCCGCGGGCACTCTTTCACCCTCCAAGCTGGAAAAAAAGTTTCCGCTTTTTGTAGGAACGCTGAGACCCCGGAAATAAAGTTATAGAAAGATTAAGCAAAAGGTTGGCTACGTCTACTTTAACGCTCATAAAACGCTAAAATCTCAAGAACTATAAGAGCTAGAATGTTAAGATTAGACACACATGCGTGTAACACCGCAGCTAGAGGTGATCATCCGGCCAAGCCGACACTAACACCAAGAAACCGCGAAAAACTGTAGAGTTTGTCGTCAATATCTATCGATAAGCTAAAAAATGTTTAATATCGGCACATTGTTTCCCGATTTATTAAGAAATGTAGGGTGTAAGGTCTCACATGGACAGTGAATTCACCATCAGTTATTAAACAATTTTTTTCAGACAAAAAGTCAATTTCTATGTCAATTCCTACTAATGATTAAAAATGATTATTTTGAAATTAAATAAGACATTAACGTAAATCCTATCTTATCGGGGCAAGAGTGCCTTTTGCATTTCTTCTTGTTCGATACTGCTTTTTGATATTTTTTAAATCGTTCATTTAAATGTACTCCAAGAGATGATTGTGAATTTATAAGGAACTAGCATGGTTAAATCAACTCAGCAATTGATCCTGAGACCACTAAGAGGAAGAAAATATGGATTCTATAGATACCTGGACAGCAAAAGTTTGTTTCAGGATACGCCAACGTACACTCTCAAAAAATACTTTAATAAATAAATAATAATTAGTAATTCGATAGGTATTGACAAAAATATTTTTAACGTCAAACAAAAACATAAAACATAATATTATGACGGTACATAATTCATATGGCAGATATGATACTACAGATATACGAGTACATATTTGATCATGTTTATCCCCTATCATTTAAATTAGTATTTTTACAATCATAATAATCTATCAATAACCTGTAATCTGTTTAAGTAAGCACGACCATTTTAATGTTAAACAAGAGGAAACGTTTT